TAAATTTTTGGTGTTAAATTTTAATGTGTACGCTTTTTTTTAAAGTGTGTCTTTAAGAAATGTATCTTACGGAATCTTTTCCCTACTTAGCAATAGATTATGCATATTTTTTCTTATTATATATTATTTTAATGGCCTCATAAAGTTCCTCCTTTACAAACATTTTATTTCTGTTTCTTTAATGTTGTAAATAATGTCATAAGCACCTTGTACTTGAACCTACTTTATATTAATAAAATAATTTAAAATACATAAATCTCCAAAAGTGGATCTTGATCTTAGTGCATCTTTCCAATTTAGTTTATAAGATATTTTCAGTTTTCAATCCCATTACCAATATATAATAATATTTAAAATAATATTTTGCAATATATCTAAAAATAATATAGTAATATACAATATTTTAAACTATTTTTTGAAATATTTACAATAATAAAATAATGTTATACAATAATATTTAAAACAATATTTTGCCATTTTTGTGAGTTTTAAGTAGAACTTTGCAATTCATTTGATTTGGGTTTTAGGATAAATGAATATATGTCATATTTATTTGTCAATTATATTTCTTCAGTAAATTCCTTCTACATTTTCTTTGCCTGTCCTTCTTTGGGGTCCCGAGAAGTCTCTCCTCAATTTGTTTGAATCTTTTACATTATAAGGGTCTGTATTAGTTTGCTAGGTGAAGATGGAATGCTATGAGCTGAATTGTGTCTCGTCAAAATTTGTGTGTTGAATTTCTAACCTCCAGTACCTCAGAATGTGACTGTATTTGGAGATAGGGCCTTTGAAAAAGGTAATTAAGGAAAAATGCGGTCATATGGGTGGGTGGGCCTAATCCAGTATAACCTCTTAAAAAAGTGTAGATTAGGAGACAGACATACACATAGGAAGATACAGAAAATAGTCATATGTAAGGCAAGGAGAGAGACTTTGAAAAAAACAACCCTGCCAACACCTTGATCTTAGACTTCTGGCCTCCAGAGTTATGAAAAAGTAAATTTCTGTTGTTTAAGCCACCCAGTCTGTGATATATGTTATAGTAGCCCTAGCAAACTACATACAGTGCCTTAACCTTTTTCTTACCGTACTTGTTGTAAATATTTTTTACTAACATATTATGTCACTTTTAATTTTAGGTATATGGTTGGTTTTTTAGAGGTATAGAAGTTTTATCTCAAAACTTAGAAATGTTTATGTTGTTTTAAATATGTATGTATAAAAATGCATTCTTTTAAATTTTTAACTACTTGCAATACTGTACAAGACAGTAAAAACAAAAGAAAAACATTATTTATACTCTTTGAAAGTCTGAAGCCTCTTTGTTCGTCATATCAAAATTTTAAGGAATACCAGTATTGTAATATCAGCAGTGTTGCAATATCTGATAGCAGCTATTCTGGTCCTGTCTCCTATCCTATTGTATTTGGGACCTCCTCCCCTCCCCTTTTTTCCTGTAAAGAAAAAATTGGACAGGAAATTTTTATAGTTATCCTACCAACAGGGTAGTAAACTTCTATGATCAACTTTTTCTTAGGGTCCATTCTTCTCATAGATGTGATGTGATATGTTGATCACTTTGGTTGCTTTATACTGTATGGTTACAGTGTTTATAACTTCATATTGAGAAAGAATATTATTAGCACTTTGGAGACGCTTCTTGGTCTTCAGTGTTAAATACATGATTTATCTTCTCTTTAATCCATTTCAGTTAGCCCCAATAAATCAATTAAGGACATTATACATAACTTTTAGGTAAAAGTCAATTCTCCAAACTCATACCTAGATTAAACAGGCATATATTCATCCAGGTGGGATCCATATAGCTAGTATTAGACCACCGCTGTCAATGAAAACTTGGAAAACCTGTTTGAAGGCAGCAGGCAGCTGCTCGGGCAACAATAAGTGCAGATGCCAACCTTTCAGAAAAGGGAGAATCTTGTACAAGTAAGCTGCTTCAACAACTTTTTCTCAGGGGACACTTGCTGATGTTAAGTGTGGGCAGGAAACAGGATTCAAGCGTTAGGCCCAGGAATACTGTTGCTGAAAGACAAAGAAAACAGCACAGAGGTTTTGGTGGAGTCCTAGGGGCATCAAGCATGAGGAGATTCTCCCCTCAATTCAGTTGTTTCATCCTGGGGCTACCTGGGGTGAGAAACTTAAAACCTAAGTGGAAAATCTTTGAAAATCAGGAATGGAGTTTGCAAAACAAAAATTAAATTTTTCATCTGCCTTGTACGAGGTTTCTTTTTTTTTTTTTTTTTGAGACGGAGTCTCGCTCTGTCGCCCAGGCTGGAGTGCAGTGGCCAGATCTCAGCTCACTGCAAGCTCCGCCTCCCGGGTTTACGCCATTCTCCTGCCTCAGCCTCCGGAGTAGCTGGGACTACAGGCGCCCGCCACCTCGCCTGGCTAGTTTTTTGTATTTTTAGTAGAGACGGGGTTTCACCGTGTTAGCCAGGATGGTCTTGATCTCCTGACAATAGGCTTTCAGTTGAAACTTCAGGTGGCAAGGAAAAAGCAGAGGTAGGCCTGGTCTTACCAGGACAACCCCCTAATGTGGACTCAACACCATCTAGTGGCTTAACAGAAAGAAGGCTGAACCTTCTGTGGAGACAGATAACACCATCAAATCTTTGCAAGTTTTTAGATACAATCAAAGACTGAGGAGCCACCAAAGGACAGGATTACGTGACTAAAAGGGAAAACAGCTAATAACGGATCCAGAGATAATCCACATCATTCAGGTGTATTAGATGAAACCTACTTTCAGTAACAACTATGTCATGAACATAGAGGATGTATGGAAGAAATTGATGTGAAATGAAGAATTTCATTAGCACATTGGAATGACTAAAAAGATTAAATGGAAATTCAAGAAGAGAATAATACAGTATCTAAATTTAAAAACTCATTAGATACATGTAATAGAAGATTAAGACACATCAGAAAACAGGTTATAGAAAATATTCAGCTGAAGCATTGAGATAATAGAAAATGGAAAAAAACAAAAGAAGATTTACAGATTTGTGATACACATGAAAAGATCTGGCATACATTTAACTGAATTACCAGAAGGAGAGTTTGGACAGAAGTAGTTTTGAAAATATATTGTATAGAATTTTTCAAAACTGCAGAAATAGATCAACCTAGAGATTTAGGAAGTTTTGTTTACCCTAAGCAGAATAGCTACAAAGGAAACCACACCTAGAAACATTGTAGTAAGATTGCTGGAAACCAAAGCTAAGGAAAGATGTCTTAAAAAGAGTCTGAGACGGGCGGATCATGAGGTCAGGATATCGAGACCATCCTGGCGAACACGGTGAAACCCCGTCTCTACTAAAAATACAAAAAACTAGCCGGGCGAGGTGGCGGGCGCCTGTAGTCCCAGCTACTTGGGAGGCTGAGGCAGGAGAATGGCGTAAACCCGGGAGGCGGAGCTTGCAGTGAGCTGAGATCCGGCCACTGCAGTCCAGCCCGGGCTACAGAGCAAGACTCCATCTCAAAAAAAAAAAAAAAAAGAGTCTGAGAGGCTGGGCGCTGTGACTCATGCCCGTCATCCCAGCACTTTGGGAGGCCAAGGCGGGCAGATCACCTGAGGTCGGGAGTTCGATACCAGACTGACCAACATGGAGAAAACCCGTCTCTACTAATAATACAAAATTAGCCAGGCTTGATGGCATGTCTGTAATCCCAGCTACTAGGGAGGCTGAGGCAGGAGAATCGCTTGAATGAGGGAGAGGGAGGTTGTGGTAGGCGAAGGGTGCGGTGTGCCGAGATTGCGCCATTGCACTCCAGTCTGGGCAACAAGAGCGAAACTCCGTCTTAAAAAAAAAAAAAGGAGTCTGAGAGGCCCAGTGCGGTGGCTCACGCCTGTAGTCCCAGCACTTTGGGAAACTTAGGCAGTCAGGTCACCTAAGGTCAGGAGTTCGAGACCAGCCTGGCCAACATGGCCAAACTCCGTCTGTACTAAAAATACAAAAATTAGCCGGGCGTCGTGGCGGACACCTGTAATCCCAGCTACTCCGAAGCCTGAGGCAGGAGAATCACTTGAACCTGGGAGGCAGAGCTTGCAGTGAGCTCAGATCGCGCCACTGCACTCCAGCTTGGGTGACAGAGTGAGACTCCGTCTCAAAAAAAAAAAAAAGAAAAAAGAGTCTGAGAAATAAATGACATTCAAAAGAGTCAACAATAACTCTGATGGCAGACTTCACAACTGAAACAATGGAAGCCATTTTGAAACTGTTGGAGGAAAATAGCAGCTAACCTAAAATTCTAAATATCCAGCAAAATATTCTTCAAACTTGAATGTAAAAAAAAAAAAAAAAATCATTTCCAGAGAAATAAAAAACAAGAAAATCATTACCAGCAACCTGGTCTAAAATTAAATCAAAACACTAACAAAACAAGTCAACAGCAACAACAGAGTTCTTCAGGTAGAAGGAAGATATCCCATTAAGGAACCGTTAAAATGATGAATAATAAAAAGGGCAAATATGTGAATAAATATAAATTGATATTGACTGTTCAATTGATAAATACTGTTCAAAAACAGTAATACAGTATAGTTTTTAAAAGATAGAAAAAACAATTGTGGAAATGTGAGGGGAGAAAGTAAAATTAAAGTGTGAGATTCTGGCATTATTGAGGACATTGTGAAGTGATACTTTTTGTTAGATGAGTCAACAATGCATGTTGTAATCTTAGTAGTAACCACTAAAAGAACCATTTTTAAAACAGTAAATTATTGAGAAGGAAAATGGAATAATAAAAAACAATTGAGTTTTTAAAAGGCAGGAAAGATAAAAGATTAAAGAAACTTAAAACTGGCAGAGCAAATGAGAAATAGTAAGATGATATAAATAAAGCTGCCTATTTGAAAAGTAGAATCATAGTTTTCAAAATATTCCATAAAAATACCTTATTTTGCAGTGTAAACATATAATGTATATAAATATGTAAAAATATACAACACATACATACTTGTTTTGTTTTTCTGACAGCTTCTTTGTGATATTGGCCACAGTGAAGAAAAACTGGGCTTTAACTATGAGGATATCATAATTTGGTAAGTGTAGTTCATTTCCCTCTCCCATCCCTTCCAGATTTTAGTAAATTTAATTTTAGTAATTTTAAACTAGAAATAGAATAATACAGCACCTCATATTTGATTTCATAGAAACAGTTGCTTGAACATTAGAAAAATTTAAGAGCTACAGTAGTTTTGTTTTTGTGAGTCTTTGTGATATTTTCTAATTACTAAATATGGGGAACCAAAGTGAATGTTCAAAAATACCTGGACTTCTATAATTTAAACTTTTAAATTAAATCTGAAATTTGCAGACTAAATTTCTCATATTATTCCCAGGAACAAGAGGAACCTATAACTCTAGGTCTTACCTAAGAGAAAGTTGTGCTTACAACAGACTTGATTTGCCCATGCACACTAGTAGAGGCATGTTATATGGTTTTATAACTATCTTTTAGGTACTCTTAGGAATTAAAATTGATATAAAAGGTCTGTGCCTGCTATTGGTGTAAATTATTTTTATCATTGATTTAAACCAGTGATTTTTGGGAGAGGTATGGAACAGGTAGCCAGAGAGAGGATATTTGATTGTAGAGACACAAATGGTATAGCTTGAAAAAGGTGTATTTAATTTTCCATTGTTTATATAAAATAAAGAACAGAAGGTAAGAACTCAGTAACATTTTCTTGATTGGCAAGAATGTACTAAGGAGGCACAGATTTAAAAAAGCAACACTAAGTGAAATTGTATGGGTTGGAGTGAATAATTTTTATATATGTAGAATGCTCTTAGATAGAATTCCGTTCATGACTAGAATTTTTGCATATTTTGGCTGAGGAATAATTTGGTAATATAATTTTGTGTGTATTTGAAACCCGTGCAGCAAAACCTCTATTTTGTTTGTTTTCATACAGTTTGCGGTTAGCTTTATTAAATGAAGCAAAAGAAGTGCGAGCAGCAGGGCTACGAGCGCTTCGATATCTCATCCAAGACTCCAGTATTCTCCAGAAGGTGCTAAAATTGAAAGTGGACTATTTAATAGCTAGGTAAATTTCCTAGAGTTGTTTATATGTTTTTGAAATTTTGTGTTGAGTTTTTAGCACGTCTACCATAAAGTGTACAGATTTTTACTCTAGTATAACTTTGATGCATTTTGCATACACACACACACACACACACACACACACACACACACACACACACACCAAGTAACAAGATTTAGATCATCTTCAGCATCCCAGTAAAGCTCTGTTATACACTGCAATCAGTTGTAAACATTATTCTGACTTTTCCCATTGCACACTAGTTTTTCCTCTTCTTGAGCATTGTGTTGGACGTATACAGTAATTACTCTTTTTTTTCTCATTATTATCTTTGAGATTCATCTATTTTTTTGTTTTGTTTTTGTTTTTGTTTTTTCTTGCTGTGTAACATTTCATTTTATAAATAGACCACAATTTATTCCATTCTGTTGAAGCTTTTCTGGGTTGTTTTCAGTGTTTGACTATGGAATAAAGTTGCCCTGAATATTCTTGTAGAAGGCTGCAAGAATATTCTTATAGAAGAAGAAATGCACTCATTTCTCTTATGTATATGTAGAACTAGGATTTCTGGGTTATAAGATACATGTATGTTTAGCTTTAGTAGATATTGCTGAACAGTTTGCTAAATGATTGCACTGATTATACGTCTACTATTATGTATAGGAGTTTCAGTCTCCCCATATCGTCATCAACACTTGATATTTTCAGTTTTTGGTTATATCGTTTCTTGTGTGGTTTTCATTGTGGGGTCTCATTGTGGTTTTAATTTGTGTTCCCTGATGAGCGATGATGTTAAGCACTTTTCATTTGCTGGTTGAAAGTTTGGGTATCCTATCTTTTACTCATTTGTAAATTGGATTATCTTTCTTGTTATGTAGGAATTCTTGATATCTTCTGGATATGAGTCTTTACAGATGTATGTATTGAAAATGTCTTCTTTCAGTTTGCCTTGCCTTTGCTTTGCCTCTGCCTTGCCTCCTCATTCTTTTAGTGGGTCTTTGATGAACAAAAGTTCATAATTAGTGAAATCCAGAATGCTTTTTGGTCTATTTGGAAGAGATCTATGTTTTCTTTTAAAGGTTTTATTCCTTTATACGTGTTTAAGTCTTTGAACCATCTTACTTGATTTGATCTCATTTGATGGTTGTGTAAGGTATGAGATAGATGGCGAGTCATGATTCATTTTTATCTTTGTGAATATCCAATAAAATTAGCACCTTTTATTGAAAACATTTTCATTTCATGTCTAGATTTGTGTCACCTTTTGTTGTAAATCAGGTAGTTCAGTAGCAATCTATTGTTGAGTTCTCTATCCTCTTTAGTTGATATATTTGTCCTTGCACCGGTTTCTCAACTGTTTTAACTACTGCAGTTCTATAATATGTCTTGATACCTGTTAATGTGAGTCTAATTTTGCTTCTTCAAGACTATTTTGACTAATCTGGGTTCTGCATTTTCATATAAGTTTTAGAATAAGATAGTCCATATCTACACAACTTGCTGGGATTTTAGTAGGGATTGCATTAATGCTGTAGATTAATTTGGGGTGAATTTACATCTTATTATTGAATTTTCTAAACTTTTATTTATTGGAGACTTTGATTTCTGTCAACAGTATTTAGTAGTGTGTGTTTTTTGCAGAGGTCTTGAACATATTTATTCAGTTTATTCTAAGATATTTTTATGATAGTATTAATGTAATTTAAAACTTATTCTTTTCTGTTTTTGTTACTAATATACAAAAAAATTGGGGGGAGATATTGACCTCTTATTTAGCAATCTTGCCAAATTCACTTTTCAGTTCTGGTTGTTTGTAGATTACTTTAGATTTTCTATGTGTATAAGCATTAATTATAGATGATGTCCATTTTATATCTTCCTTTCCAATCTTTATCTTTTTCTTACCTTACTACATGAGTTAGAATATTGCACTGAATAGGAATGATACTAATGGACAAGTTTGTTTTGATCTTGAACTTAGGTGAAGAGCATTCAGTATTTCACTATTATTTATACTTTCTATAAGCTTTTACTAGATTTTCTTTATATTCCTAGTTTGCATTCTTTAAATAAACACCACTATTTGTGATATATTGCCCTTTTCATATATAACTTAATATCCTTTGCTAATATTTTATAGATGTTTGCACCTATGTTCATGAGAGGTATTGACCTTTATTTTTCCATTCATCTGAAGTCTGTCTGGTTTTAGTATTGGGAGTATGTATGTTTGTTTTATAAAACAACTAGGGAAATGTGGCCTTGTTTTCATTTTACTTGGAAAATATATGTAAGATATGTAATTTTTTTTTTTTTTGTCCTACATGATTGTAATTCATTAATGGATCTCTCTGGCTGGGTTTTCTTTTTCAGCCTGTTATAAAATTATAGACTCAATTATTTTTCACCTATATAGTACTTTCTGACTTTTCTTTTTCTTGTTTCAGATTTTGAAGCTTTGTTGTTACTTCATGTTTAGAAGTGCTAAATCTTCATGTTGGGCTTAATCCTTTTATAATTATAAAATAACCCTCTTTATTCCTAGTAATACTTCTTTTATGAGTGTTCATGTAATCTAATAATACATTACCACCTTTCTTTTGCCTAGTGTTTGCATGGTATACCTTTTATCATCCTTTTACTTTCTTTTTTTGTTTTTACATTTAAGTGTCTCCCCTGTAAATATCATATCGTTTTTTCTTTTTTTAATATCTGGTTTGACCAACTTTGTCTTCTTACTGGAGTATTTAGACTATTTATGTCTAGTGGTTTATTATGTGAATGATTTATGTCTAATGTAATTATTTGTGTGTATTTATGAGTTTGTTGTCTCATTACTAGCTTCCTAATACTTGAATTTGTTTGCTATGTGCATGATTTATGGACTTTGTCTAATGTAATTATTTGTGTGTATTTATGAGTTTGTTGTCTCATTACTAGCTTCCTAATACTTGAATTTGTTTGCTATCTTGGTATTTATATTCTATTTGTCACATATGTTCTTTGTTCTTGTATTTCTCATTATTTTGCTTCATTTGAAATACCAGTTTTTTTCCTCTTTTAGTGTCTTGGCTATGAAGTCTTTCCTTCTTTTTAGTAGTTATCCTAGAGATTGGAACATATATCCTTGATATATTTAGTTCTGCTAGTCATCTTTTGTCTGTAAATCCCTCTATTTTGCCTTCATGTTCAAAGGCTGTTTTCATTACCACTTATTTATTTTTCAGTGCTTCGGTTATTGTCTTCTGGATTTCTTTTTCTTCTTAATTTCTTTTCTTTTTTTTTTTTTTAAATAACAGTTGAACAATAAGTAGCTTCTCTTTCTTGTTATGTAGGAATTCTTGATGTCTTTGAGATTCTTTCGGATGTATCTTTTTACCTCTGGCTGCTTTAAAGATTTTTTTTTTACTCTGTTGTATATTCTGCCCTATTGACTGGTACTCCATCTATACACATGTTGGATCTTTTTACTGTCCCACGTTTCTGATGCCGTTACTGAATTTTTCAACCTTTTATTGTGGTTAATCTTTGTATTTCAGTGTGCTTACCTTTCTACCTACCTGTTTATTAAAAACCTTTCATCCTGCTAGTTCATGACTCTCATGAATTCTTAATTTCAGTTATTATTTTATTTATTTTAGGTTTCTTTTCCCCCCTATTTGTTTGAGATGGAGTGTTGCTCTGTCGCCTAGGCTGGCGTGCAGTGGCGCTGATCTCAGCTCATTGCAACCTCCCTCTTCTGGGTTCAAGTGATTCTCCTGCCTCAGCCTCCCGAGTAGCTGGGACTACCGGTGCGCATCACCACGCCCGTCTAATTTTTTTCTATTTTAGTAGAGACAGGATTGCACCGTGTTGCCCAGGCTGATCTCAAACTCCTGAGCTCCAGCAGTCCACCCGCCTCGCCCTCCCAAAGTGCTAGGATCACAGGCCTGAGCCACCGTGCCTGGCCTATTTTAGTTTTATTTAAAGATTTCAGGTCTCTGCTTTATTCTTCATCTTTTCTTCTATTTTCTTTAGCATATTAACCATAGTTATTTTGAAGTCCCCTCTGACAACTCCAATATGTGAATCACCTGTATTCTATTTGTAGTGCCATTTTCTTTTCTTAGTTTTTGGTTCTTGGCCCTTTGTTTTAAACCTTGCCTCATTTTGTCTGATAGAATGGTGAACATCGGTATTCAAAATTGTTGGGGCTGGGCTTGGTGGCTCATGCCTGTAATCCCAGCATTTTGGGAGGCCAAGGGGCTGCAGATCACTTGAGGCCAGGAGTTCGAGACCAGCCTGGCCAACGTGACGAAACCCCGACTCTATTAAGAAAACAAAAATTAGCCAGGCATGGTGGCACGCACCTGTAATCCCGGCTACTCAGGAGGCCGAGGCACCAGCTCTGTCTCAAAAACAAAAAATCCAAACAAAAAAAAAAATAATTATTGTCTCAGGATCATGTTATTTGCATTTTAAGAGAGTTAAGTTTTGTTCTAGAATGTTGGTTTATTACACTGATTCTGTTAAAGTTTGGTTTTAGATTTGCCTTTGCTCTTAGAAGTGGCTATTTAGGATCTCAGAGTGGATATATTGAGCAGAATCTTTTCACCTTAACCAGTCTTTAACCCTAACCTATTTCTTAGAGTATTGTGTTTCTGCTGAAATCTATACTCTGTTCCTTTGTTTCTTAGAGTGTAATTCTGCTTTTGCACAACGTAGATGTTGACAAGTGTCTTAGAGAGCACTGCATGCAGATTTTAGCTCATTTTCTTCTGTTTTCTTCTCTCAGGGATTTTACCCCTCAAGTCCCAGCTACTTTGGCTGCCCTGGTGTTAAACCTCTGTCTTTTCAGGACAGCCTGATTTCTGCTTTCTGTTAGAACTCTGCCCATGAGGCCAGGGATTGACATTGATAAATGCACCCAGGGAACAAATGTGGTTGAATGTGGAGCTCCCTGTGCTTCTTTTTTCAGAGTATTGTTCATTGCCCTTTTAACAGTTGTTTTATACTGTAAAGTATTTGTTTTTTTTTAAAACCTTTATGGTTGTTTTTGGCAAGACAGTCAGAACCTCCCATCTCTGTCATGACCAGGAATGGAATTCTAAGTCCATTTGTATTTTAATAGAATTGCCTTAGATTAATTGTATTCAGATAGAAGAAATGCTTTTTGAATCGCAGACTATCTGTATATAAAGCATTGATTAGAATAATGAACTGTCTAAATAAAAATGCTCCTACATAAACAAAAGACTTTCAAAATTGGATAATTTAATACATTTTACAAAGAAATGTCAGTTTGGTGGTATTTGTTTGGACATCAATATTTGAAGTGAATTCAGAATTCAGATTATATTTTGGTGAGATAGAATTTTTATGTATAGTGCCTAATTTAGTTTAAGCCCCGGTCAAAATTGCAATTAAATGAAAAGAGCCTTGAACTATTTTTCCTTTACAATTTTTATAAAAGGTCTGAATTTTATCAGAGAAAAGTGGATTTTTTTTAGTAGACTTTTAATACTTTGTTTATTGGTCTTTCTTTATAAATAGATGTAGTCTTATCTTATAAATTACTTACTATACTGTTCTTTGAAGTTTTAAAAGAAAAAATTGGTCTTTTAATTGACAGATATTTATCACTAGAGATACATGGGTTAATTAAATAAATATATGTTGGTACTGAGAAATCATATACCAAAACTTTAATATACCATATTGACATGGTGAAAATGGGTTTCATCAAGCAGTATTATGATACAAAAAGTTGTTTAATAGAATTTTATCAATGATTAATATTTTGTGTATTGTTTAGGTGCATTGACATACAACAGAGCAACGAGGTAGAGAGGACACAAGCACTTCGATTAGTCAGAAAGGTATGCTCTATGTGTGAGAGTAAAAGGCAAATTTATGGTTTTTATGTTAATATGTACATTTTTAGATTAGACTGTTTTGTGAAATCTTGATTAAGATTAAAGACTAAACTTTTATTAAACATTTTTTTTAAAGTTATATATTAAATAAATTCATTAAACTTTGAGGTAAACAAATATTTTGTGGAATTATTCTATGTGATTGGGTATAGCTAGGACAATATTTCTTATGTTTATTGTGAAGAATATTTCTTCCTTTAATAGACATGTAAGTGTAGTTACCGCTTTGATAAGTTACTGAAGAAAGAGGATTACTTGCTCCCCATCCTAATTTTCTCTTTATTGCATACTTAGAGTTTATAGTATTAAATGGAAGTCACAAATAGTTAGAAGTTCATTGTTTTAAAGGTGAATTTGGATACAGTCTGTGGGCAGTTGCAATAAACAATTCAGGCCCTTATACAGGATAAAAAGTCACAGCCTAAACTCCACAAGAGAGGGTGTTAAGGATAATCCACAATGCTTCTCATGAGAGGCCTTCAGGGAATGCTTTGTTGTTTTACTTGATAACCCTAATGGTGGAAGAAGAGAGTGAACTGGGAGTAAATTTGGTTGGGACACAGCCTGAGTGAGACAAGTATCCCTCATATTTCATCTTAATGTTCATGAATCATGAAGTATATGTTCATTTGCATAAAAAAATCTAAAAATATTTACCAGTTGAATTTTTTAGTTCTTTTTTCCCTCTTCCTATCTTTCAATTCCATACAGGTTCCAAAATGGTGTACTGTTCAGTTTCTGTGTTAGCTAGGGTTCCCTCTTTTTCACTTTTCTTACAATTGTCTACCTTTTGGTTAGTAATAGTACTCACAGGTGAACAAGTAAATGGATGAATTAAGTCTTAAAAGAAGTTTGAAATTCTACTAAGAAGATACTGGAGATAGATTAGGAGACTTGAACTGTTACACTAGGATTGTAATTTGACTTTTCAAATTCAGATTTTAAAAATGTATGGTTTTTATTTATACAATTCTTCCTTCTTCCATGACTGAGAATTCAGGATGAAACAAAATTTGTTTCTGAAGAACCTAGAACAATTTTTTCGTTATTTGGGTTATGTATGTCAGTATTTGTAATATTAGGAACTAAAATATATATTAATATATTTTAAATGATAAACACATTAAATACAAACATAAATAACATTTTTATGAAAACCATATTTTATTTTATTTTTTCAATAATTTTTGGGGTACAGATGGTTTTTGGTTACATGGAGACGTTATTTAGTGGTGATTGAGAGTTTTGTGCCCCTGTCACCCAAGCAGTGTACACTGTAGCCCATATGTAATCTTTTTATCCCTCACCTCCTCCCAAACTCCCCCCACCTCCAGTCGCCAAAGTTCGTTATATCATTCATATGCCTTTGCGTCCTCATAGTTTAGCTCCCACTTAGAAGCAGGGAACATACAATATTTGGTTTTCCATTCCTGAGTTAATTTGACTTAGTGTAATGGCCTCCGGCTCCATCCAAGTTGCTTCAAAAGACATTATTTCAATTGTTTATGGCTGAGTAATATTCCATAGTGTATAATACCACATTTTCTTTATCCACTCATTGGTTGATGGGCACTTTGGAATGACTATATTTTCCAAAAAATAATGAGAAGAGGGCTATTGTTTCAGAGTTTTGCAACTCTCTTTAATTTTATTTTGATATACAAGTCATTTGGATTATCATATTTGCTTCTGCATTCAGTCTGTTTTAATAACACATGCGGTGGAGCCCCTGTAAAACATTAGTACACACTTCTGAGAAGATAAGAGTGAAAAGGACAAATGATATCTTTGTATTGCTGTGCAGAATCTCTGAAAATATCTTAAGGACCCTCAGAATTTCCTGGTCTACACTTTGAACATCACCGCTGTAGAGACTGCTGTCAGAAGAGAAGACAATTTCAAATGGATTCAGACAATTAAATTCAATTTTGGATATTTTAGTAAATGTTTTACTTCAATTTTGTATTTTTGCAAAAGTTAAAATTTAAAGTAGCTCAGGTTTTAATTGCTTAAAAATAATTTAATAGCAGCATAACAAAAATATCATTTCATTTGGTTGTCTTCTGAGATGCAGAGTAGTTGACTCACATACCATTTGTGAATCCTAGAACAGGAAAATTGCTGATATTTGATGGTGGAATATAGAATCAGAGGAAGACTTGTGGCACAGGACTTTTCCTTGGTTTACGCTAAAAGAATTAGAGTGAGAGCACATTTGCCGAACGAACAGTGGCCTCTATTGGCCAGAGAAACTATAATTTCATTAGTGCTTTTAGCATCTGAAGCACCCTTTTTTTTTACAGTAAAACCTTGGCAGCTGTACTACAGGTTGAGTATTCCTTTTCCACAATGCTTGGGACCTGAAGTTATTTCCCATTTTGGAATTTTTTGGGTTTTGGAATATTTGTGTGTATATGAGAAGATACCTTGTGAATGAGAAGACTTAAATCTAAGCACATAATTTATTTATGCCTCGTATACGCCTTGAACACATATCCTGAAGTTAATTTTGTATAATTTTTTTTTTTTTTTTTTTTTTTTTTTGAGACGGGGTTTCCCTCTGTCGCCCAGGCTGGAGTGCAGTGGCGCTCTCTAGGCTCACTGCAGGCTCTACCTCCCGGGTTCATGTCATTATCCTGCCTCAGCCTCCCCAGTAGCTGGGACTACAGGCGCCCACCACCACACCCAACTAATTTTTTTTTAAAATTTTTATTTTTAGTAGAGATGGGGTTTCACCATGTTAGCCAGGATGGTTTCAATCTCCCAACCTCGTGATCTGCCTGCCTTGGCCTCCAAAAGTGCTGGGATTATAGGTGTGAGCCACTACACCCAGCCAATTTTGTATAATATTTTTAAGAATTTTGTGCATGAAACAAAGTTTATGTACATTGAACCATCAGAAAGCAAAATTGTCAGATGCTGAATTTTCTACTTCTGGCTCATGTCAGTGCTCAGAAAGTTTGTGATTTTGGAGCATTTTGGATTTTTGGATTAGGGATGCTCAACCTGCAGTAGAAATTAATATTATAATTACTGTATCACTGAATTTTTGTGTATGCATTCCCAAAAGTCTTAAAATTTGTAATAAAAGTATTAGTCTATTATATTTTAAAAGATAAGGAAAAACATTTTTTGCTTTAGGATAACTTACGCTATGAATAATTAAGGAATTCTTATGTTACTTTTTATTTTATTTTACTCATCTCATTCATTTGGAAATATTCTGTCTGCTTTTTTCTTTTCCATGTCTCTGATTTCACCCTTCCAATGCAGGCAGCTCTTTTGTGGCTTTATTTCTCTCATTTTTAATGTAGTTTTTCCGCTAGTCAGTTGTTACTATTCTTTTCTTAATCTTATTTAAATTCTACTTGCCGTCTACCTAATTTGAACTTTTTTTCATATATAATTTCTTTATTCATGTAATAAAGAATTAATACCACAAACTTTTTACATTTGAAAGAGATTCATTGACTGGAATCTCATGCCCTTGATACGTAGCAAGATAGTGGCAAAGCCAGAGCAAGAACCCTCTTCTCCGAAATTTCCAAACCTACATTGGCCCATGAGTTTGAAGTTCAACCTGCCTACTTTGGCCTTCAGAGCCCAGTTTTGGTCCAGCCAACCATTTCTATCTGACATGTCTTATGCCACCATGTGTAGGCAAACTACCCACCACTACTACCACAATTATTACTTCCTTCCTACTCTTTTCATTTTCAGCCCTTCTCACCTTACATTGATCTTCTAGTCTCAGCTCAAATATTAGATATACCCCTTAGGTAACTCAGTACTTCTCTAATTCCTTTGTGTCAGTTCCACAAATTTATTACCTAGTCAGGATCTTTGTTTTATATGTCTGTTCTGTCATGCCAGAAGAGATTATTAAACTTTTACAGTTTTAACAGTGACTGCATTCTATGGCTTCTCCCTTATTGAGCATTCATTGGTTTATGAAGAAAGCATTCTCTGATTTGCACACAGTTTAAGAGTTTCTTTGCCTATATTTCCTGGAAAATAAGAAGAGTGATTTTATTTGTAAAAATTTTATGTATCTATTTCATAGCACAATCTGGTGAATTAAGTAAGTATATGTTTACTAGACACAAGATTTATATAGAATTTTATACTTGAAACTTTAGAAATTATCTGTTCATACATATCTTCATTTTACAAATGAGGAAATTGAGGCACAGAGAGACTTGGTTTAGCCAAGGTAGCATAGTTTATTATAGCAGACTTAAGTCTAAAAACCATTTTGCCTGGTTTTTCAGCAAAATATTTTACAGAATATATTACATGCATTTTGCTATTTGGAGAAATTTTCTTATAAGCTCCTTGTAAGAATAGTAATAGATCAGAAAGTATTAAAAAATAACTTAATGTCATAAAATGTTAGAATTCTTTCACCCAGGAAGATCGATTTCCTGTACTTCCTATACCTCCTTCCTTCTCCCTTTCTTTCTCTCCTTTTTCAGTTAATTGAAAAAACTGACTTAGAAATGAATATGAAAGCTTTTGTAGATTCTACAATTATTGGAGATATGTTTGTTTTATGGTTGTAGAACTGTTGTATAATTTCGGGTGAACTTTGTAATATGTCTTTAAAATGCTGCTTAAATGACAAACCACTTACAACTACTAATCAAACAGATCTTTCTTTTGATCTTCTATAAGACTTAATTGTGTATCTTTCATTTAGTTATATTGCATCCTCTGATTGTTTCATCGCATAAGTTTTATTTTATCAATAGGACAATAAATCTAGTAACATCTGGGTCAGATTAATTTTCTGTAATATTTTATTACCATACAAACAAAATATTTTCTTTTATTTCCACTCCAGGAACCTGCCATTTTTAATTAATTTGCAAAATAGTCTTTATTTACTAAACAATAGTTAGCTACGTAATTTTCTGTTTTCCAAATCAAAGACATATGTTACCTATTTTCAGTATTCCAAATGTTATTGCCGGTTAGATCTTTCATTTAATGTGAGATTCATCTGAAGTTTTATTACAAGATATTTCCATCAGAATTTTTGAAATATTTAAAATAGATTTGAATTATGAACTCTGCTTTCTGGTATAGCAACAAGTGATGGATGGGGAAGGTGACTAGAGAGTAAGGAGATCATTAAATATCTATTGCAGTAGTCAGAGTGAGAGTGAGGGCCCAAGTTAATCAGTTAATTTGATGAGGAGAGGGGAGTAGAGGTAAAGATGTTATGGAAGTAAATTGGTAGGACTTGGTGATGATGGTATATGGAGAGATGGTCAGGATCGTAAAAGTGCAGTAGTATATTGACTACTATTGTCACCTCTGGTTTACTTTGTCTAGGTACTGAAAAACTGTTTAAGATTTAGTCCCTATTCTAGAATAATTTAAAATCTCAGAAACATTTGGTCGATGAATTTATAGTTTGTAAGAAAAAATCTAACACATTTTCCATAGTAATGGCTATTAATATTTGTTACATCAATTATTAGTTATATTAATATTTTGAATATCCATAAGAAGCAGAAGATTAAAATTGGTACCTAGATCTTATTCTGGATCTTATTCTATGTTATTAACTATTTCAGTTTGGTCAAAATAGATTTAAGAAATGTGTTACTAAAGTAACTTCTTTTTCTGATTCCTTCTGTTACAGATGATTACTGTGAATGCTTCCTTGTTTCCTAGTTCTGTAACCAACTCATTAATTGCAGTTGGAAATGATGGACTTCAAGAAAGAGACAGAATGGTCCGAGCATGCATTGCCATTATCTGTGAACTAGGTCAGAATTTTCTTCAAGTAACAAAAATGTAATATTTTAGAAAGGATATCTAACATTTGATATGTATATATTTTATTACACTTTAAGTTCTGGGATACATGTGCAGAATGTGTAGGTTTGTTACATAGGTATACATGTGCCATGGTGGTTTGCTGTACCCATCAACTTGTCATCTACATTAGGTATTTCTAATGCTATCCCTCTCCTAACCCCCCGACAGGCCCCGGTGTGTGATGTTCCCCTCCCTGTGCTCATATGTTCTCATTGTTCAACTCCCACTTACGAGTGAGAACATGCAGTGTTTAGTTTTCTGCCCCTGTGTTATTTTGCTGAGAATGATAGTTTCCAGCTTCATCCATGTCCCTGCAAATGACATGAACTCATCCTTTTTTAATGGCTGCATAGTATTCCATGGTATATATGTGCCACATTTTCTTTATCCAGTCTGTCATTGATGGGCATTTGGGGTGGTTCCAAGCCTTTTCTGTTGTGAACAGTGCTGCAATAAACATATGTGTGCATGTGTCTTTATAGTACAACGAGTTGTAAATATACCCAATAATGGGATTGCTGAGTCAAATGGTATTTCTGGTTCTAGATACTTGAGGAATTGCCACACTCTTCTTCCACAATGGTTGAACTAATTTACACTCCCACCAACAGTGTGAAAGTGTTCCTATTTCTTCATATCCTCTGTAGCATCTGTTGGTTCCTGACTTTTTAATGATTGCCATTCTAACTGGGGTGAGATGGTATTTCATTGTGGTTTTGATTTGCATTTCTTTAATGATCAATGGTGATGAGCTTTTTTTCATATGTTTGTTGACCATATAAATGTCTTCTTTTGAGAAGTGTCCGTTCATATCCTTTGCCCACTTTTTGATGGGGTTGTCTTTTACTTGTAAATTTAAGTTCCTTGTAGATTCTGGATATTAGTCCTTTGTCAGATGGATAGATTGCAAAAAATTTTTCCCATTCTGTAGGTTGCCTGTTGACTCTGATGATTGTTTCTTTTACTGTGCAAAAGCTCTTTAGTTTAATTAGATCCCATTTGTCAATTTTGGCTTTTGTTGCCATTGGTTTTGGTGTTTTAGTCATGAGGTCTTTGCCCATCCCTATGTCCTGAATGGTATTACCTAGGTTTTCTTCTAGGGTTTTTATGGTTTTAGGTCTTTAATCCATCTCGAGTTAATTTTTGTGTAAGGTGTGAAAAGGGGGTCCAGTTTCATTTTTCTGCATATGGCTAACCATTTTTCCTAACACCAATTTTAAATAGGGAATCCTTTCCCTATTGCTTATTTTTGTCAGGTTTGTCAAAAATCAGATGGTTGTAGATGTGTGACGTTATTTCTGAGGGCTCTGTTCTGTTCTATTGGTCTGTATATTTGTTTTGGTACCAGTACCATGCTGTTTTGGTTACTGTAGCCTGTAGTATAGTTTGAAGTCAGGTAGCGTGATGCCTCCAGCTTTGTTCTTTTTGTTTAGGATTATCTTGGCTATATGGGGTCTTTTTTGGTTCCATATGAAACGTAAAGTAGTTTTTTCCAATTCTGTGAAGAAAGGCAGTGGTAGCTTGATGGGGATAGCATTGAATCTATAAATCACTTTGGGCAGTATGGCCATTTTCACGATACTGATTCTTCCTATCCATGAACATGGAATGTTCTTCCATTTGTGTTCTCTCTTATTTCCTTGAGCAGTGGTTTGTAGTTCTCCTTGAAGAGGTCCTTCACCTCCCTTGCAAGTTGTACTCCTAGGCATTTTATTCTCTTTGTAGCAATTATTAATGGGAGTTCACTCATGATTTGGCTCTCTGTTTGTCTATTATTGGTGTATAGGAATGCTTGTGATTTTTGCACATTGATTTTATATCCTGAGACTTTGGTGAAGTTGCTTATCAGCTTAAGGAGATTTTGCACTGAGACGATGGGTTTTTCTAAGGAGACCCATCTCACGTGCAAAGACACACATAAGCTCAAAATAAAGGAATGGGGGAATATTTACCAAGCAAATGGAAAGCAAAAGAAGCATGGGTTGCAGTCCTAGTCTCTGATAAAATAGACTTTAAACCAGCAAAGATCAGAAACGACAAAGAAGGGCATTACATAATGGTAAAGGGATCCAAGCAACAAGAAGAGCTAACTATCCTAAATATATGTGCAACCAATATAGGAGCACCCAGATTCATAAAGCAAGTTCTTAGAGACCTACAAAGAGACTTAGACTCCCATACAACAATAGTGGGAGACTTTAACACTCCACTAGACCACTAGCCAGACGAATAAAGAAGAAAAGAGAGAAGAATCAAATAGATGCAAAAAAAAAATGGTAAAGGGGATATCACCACCAGTCCCACAATATAAACACCTCTACGCAAATCAACTAGAAAATCTAGAAGAAATGAATAAATTCCAGACACATACACCCTCCCAAGACTAAATCAAGAAGAAGTTGAATCCTTGAATAAACCAATAACAAGTTCTGAAATTGAGGCAGTAATTAATAGTCTACCAACCAATAAAAGCCCAGGACCAGATGGATTCGCAGCTGAATTCTACCAGAGGTACAAAGAGGAGCTGGTACCATGTCTTCTGAAACTATTCCAAACAACAGAAAAAGTAGAACTCCTTCCTAATTTTTTGATGAAAATCGATGTGAAAATCTTCAATAAAATCCTGGCAAACCAAATCCAGCAGCACATCAAAAAGGTTATCCACCATGATCAAGTCGGCCACATCCCTGGGATGCAAGGCTGGTTCAACATATGCAAATCAGCACACGTAATCCATCACATAAACAGAACCAATGACAAAATCCACATGATTTTCTCAATGGATGCACTAGCATTTTATGTCCATGTACACAGATACACATATACCTAGATAGATACATAATTAGAAGGCTACTTTGTTAGCATTCAAGAATATTTATCTCAAATCAACAATCAATGCTATTCTTAATGGTGAATTTCTACAAATACCACATCCTTGTAACTATTAGCATTATTTTAAAACTTTTAGCCAGGTTATTAGCCAAAATAATAAAATATGTGTATATATTGGAAAGGAGACAGTATTACTTTGTCAAAGATGGTATCTTCTATATAAAAAAATCTCTGAAGTAAAAACCAACTTAATTTTAGGTAGTAGGATTATGTGAAAACAGATTTGACAGATTTTTGTGTTTCAACAATAATCAGTAATTAGAAAAAGCAATACTATGTTTAAAGTAGAAAAAATATATAAGACAAATTTTATAAGAACTGTGTATGACTTGTTTGTGTGTTTGAGGAGTACTTTTGAGTTTGTCAAATTGATTCTTAAGAAGATACAACTAATCTGTAAGGGTACAAATGAGAACGGTGGTGGCCTTGCAGTGGAGGAGGACTCACTGGAAAGTAATGTGAGAGATCTTTCTAGGATAATGAGAGTTCTGTATGTTGAGTGGACATCTTTGGAGCAAGAAATTTCTGAGCTCAAAATTACTAAACTGTGTGTTCTGTGTGTGTGTTTAATAAAAATATAGAGAAATGAAATACACCATTTTAAACAAAATCTGAAATTAAATCACAGATGAAAGATTTGAGACAGATAAATGGCTAATATCCCTACCTTATAAAGAACTCCCTGCAATTGATAGGAGAAAAAAAGCCATTCCAGTATTATATGGACAAAGGGTATGAAAAGACAATCCAAAGATATTTTAAAAATCAGGTTTTGGGGAAGTATATTCAGTGGCTCTTTATCCACTTGTCCTTTTATCTACCTGTTCTTATAAATGTTGTTATTAGAAAGTTTTTCAAGTCAGAAAGGCAATTAAGTTTTAAAGCACAGATTTTTTATTACTTTTAATAATTACTCCAAATATAATATGTTAAGTTTTTCTCTTTTAGCACTTCAGAATCCAGAGGTGGTGGCCCTTCGAGGTGGACTAAACACCATCTTGAAAAATGTGATAGATTGCCAATTAAGTCGAATAAATGAGGCCCTAATTACTACAATTTTGCACCTTCTTAATCATCCAAAGACTCGACAGTATGTGCGAGCAGATGTGGAATTAGAGGTAGGAACTTTAATATTCTTTTCTAGTTTTAAAATATGATTATAAATGTATACTTTTACTTTGAAGTATTAAACTCTATAGATGCAGTACCACATTAATTATCAAACCTAAATTAGCCGAGACTGATTTGTTCCCAGCCCTATTTTACAGATCATTCAGTTTGGACTGAATTGAAAACATTACTCTTAATAATATTTCATCAATGTGTAAAGTAAATTTTATTTTTGTATTATATATGAAAAGTTTATGAACCAAATTAGAGTACAAAGAAAGTTATGTAAGAAATTTACCTATTTAAGATTACCATTTGCTTTTAAGGCCGTTAGTACTTTGTGAATAGGTCCCGCTAATTATACAATATGAAACCTACTAAAATTTCTGAAGTTGGAAGCACTTTGTTAGCAACTAATTATATCTACTAGAAAGAAAGCGTATATGTATATTTTGTAAATACCTTTTAAATTTTTTATGATTCAAGTAGGGTTTATTACAGTTAGTCAAAAGTAATAAGGCTACTGTATACTTTTCTTTATAAGAAAGTATGTAGGGGAGGTTGGAACAGAATTATGCACTATATTATAGTTTCTTCCTGTGCATGTATTGCATTATTGTCTTTTGAATATTTGGAGTCACTTTAAATCAAGGATTTGTTTGTATTTAGGTATGAAATCATGTGTGATATAAATGATTGATTGTCCCCTAATTTGTTTTTCCAAATCATTTTTTGAAACTTAAGTGTTCTGTTTTTATCAGGACTATTTTTAAAAATGCTTCACATTATAAAATTTACATCAGCCTATATTATTAACTAACAGTGTTAGTAAAATATTCTTAGTAAGTGATTTCAAGTACATTACTCATTGGAATCCTATGGGAATAAACTGGCACTGTTGATATTTTATAATTTGTTTAGCTTTATTTTTTTTCTTATCAAATAAGAAAACTATAATTTTAAAATTAGAGAGATGAATAAAAGATAATATGTATAGGCTCTGTGTTTTGTTTTTTGTTTTGTTTTGAGATGGGGTCTCACTCTGTTGCCCAGGCTTAAGTGTAGTGGCACAATCATGTCTCACTGCAGCCTAGACCTCCCGGACTCAAGCAATCCTTCCATGTCAACCTCCTGAGTAGCTGGGACTATAGGCATGTACCACCACACCTGGCTAATTTTTGCATTTTTTGCAGAGACGGGACTTTGCCATGTTGCTCAGGCTGGTCTTAAACTCCTGAGCTTATGCAATCCACCCACTTCAGCCTCCCAAACTGCTGGGCTTACAGGTATGAGCCATTATGCCCAGCCAGCTGCGTTTTTATTCCTATATATCATACAGTGGATTAGCAAAGCCTTTATATAAATGAAACAAATCTCAAACACAGGAAAACCAGAGGTCTGCTTAGTTTTACCAAAATTGCATTGTAGCCTCAATTTAACTTAGTTGGGCATTAGAATAAGGTAATCAGTCCCCTTAATCTACCTGTCTAGCAGAGGAAAGAATAAACCATCTTGAGTGGGAGATAACATCACATGGAGCCTTTTATAAAGTGCACATTCAGTCAGAAATTAGTCATTTAAAAAGACATGACTGTATGACTGAAAACCCAAAAGAAAAAAAAAATCCATAGAAACATGCTTGCAGGTAATTCAGATAGAGGAAAAAGACATTAAAACAACCCCGATTAATTTGTTCAAGAAGATAAATAAAATACATGAAATAATGGAGAATTTCACCATATAATTGGATATGTGAAAAGAATCAAATGGAAATTCTAGTACTGAAAATACGATATCTGGAATTCAGAGCACAATGAAATTAAAATTCAGTTTGAACAGGAAGATATTATTAGTAAACTGAAAGAGAAGTCAATAAAAATATCCAAGGGTAAAACAAAAATAATGTTAATTCACACACAGTAAGCACAGAGAGAAAAAAGAAAGAAAATTGAACAGCACAAAAGAGATAAAACATAATTGCAGTCTTTGGAGAGAAAAAGTTGGCAGAAGCAAAGATCCAAAGAGACAGTGGCCAAAACTTTGTTTCTAAAACTGATAAAGCTTCATGTTATAAAGCTCAGAAAACAAATGAGATAATACATAGGGAGGAACTGAGCTCTCTTGCCAACAATCAGCACCTTGTGAGTGACACTTCTTGATGCGGATCCTCTAGCTCCAGTCAGGCCTTCAGATGACTACAGGCTTGGCTAACACTTGGACTGAAATCTTATGAGACCTTGAGCCATAACCGTATAGCCAAGCGTCTCCTAGATTCTTAAGTCACTGAAACTGTATACATTAATAAATATTATTTGTTGTCAAAAGGAGACATAAAGAAAGGCTAAAGGGAATCCTCAGTTAAAAGGAAAATGACCCAAGACAGAGAAATGCAGGAAGGAATGAAGAGCACCAGAAAAAGTAAATATATGACGATTTAAAAGTCATGACTGTTAAAAGCAATTATTAATCTCTTATATTTTAAATTATATTTAGAACTAAAATTCATGTCCACAGTAATGCCGAAGACAAGATGGGAAGGTTGTTAATAAAATATAGTAGTTCTAAAGTAGCCGGTAATCCCAGCTACTCTGGATCCTAAGGCGGGAGGGTTGCTTGAGCCCAGGAATTCAAGGTTGCAGTAAGCTGTGATCACACCACTCACTACACCTTAGTCTGCACAGTAGAGTAAGATCCCATCTCTTAAGTTCTAAAGTAATGAGTTATTTTAGCAAGGTTGCTGAATACAAACAACAACACACAAAAATAACTTGGATTTTCTTTATACCAGCAACAAAAGGAACATGCAGTTCATTAATAGAACTATTTAAATTTTCAAAGACAGGCAAAACTAATTATAGCGTCAGAAGTCAAGATGGTTATCTTGGGATAGATACTGATTGTGACTACAAAGGTATAATAGAGCTTTGAGGATGCCTATAATGTTTTCTTAAGTGCTAGTTACATGAGTGTGCTCAGTTTGAGAAAATGAGTTTTAGATACTTATTAAACCTCAATTTAAAAGTTCAGAACTTCAATTTGTACATTAAAAAAAATCACCCAACATATTCCCCGATGATGAGTTAGAAGAAATAAGTCCCTCAGGCAGTAAACCCATTAAAGATAGAGAGAAATGGAATGAGTTTTAGTTTGTTGCAGAAAGGACGCATTTTAAAATAAAGACTTTTCTTCTTCTTCCTTTTTTTTTTTTAAAAATAGAGAATTTTAGCACCCTATACTGATTTTCACTACAGACATAGTCCAGATACAGCTGAAGGACAGCTCAAGTAAGTAATATTGGTTCCTAATAATTTGTAGATAATGTATATGTTAATACTAAAGCTTTTAGGTTTGCGTGATTGCATGTACAGCCAGAGAAATGTGAGTTTAAATAAATTTTTTATTTTATAGAATTATGTTGCATTTCTCTCATAATTTACTGTGGTTTAAAAAATTTAAAGCTTTGAGAAATGTAAAGAATAGTTTCTTATTTCAAAAAATATATGGTAGACTGTGACAGAAACCAAGGTCATTGTTTTTGTATTGTATATATTTTAGCATAATTACATTGAAAAACTAAAAGAATGAAATAACAGTAAGTAGTACAATGAAGAGTGACCTTAACTTACTGAGTCAGCAGAATGATGTAATATGTAGACTTCTGAGAGTAAGCTTAATACAGAAATTAATGAGAGTAGAGTAAAGATTATTATCTAGAAATGAGAGTATAATTTTCAGGGTGTTTTTGGAGAGAAAGGCACATGTTCACTAGGTATTTGGAGATAACTTTAAACTAATTTAGAGTTCAAATAAAGCACTCTCTGTAAAGATTTTGCAAATGACACATTTCCATTAAATATGTTATCCAGTGTTTTTCTGATAGACTTTATTGCACTTCAATTAGTTTATTGTCTGCATAAACTTATTGTGATACATAGTATATAGGTTTTTAAATTCCTCCCTAAATTTTATAACATTGCCAGGGAAATGTTTTTCATTTTTTCTCCTGTGTTAAAAATAGTGATTTCTGTAATCCTAGCACTTTGGGAGGCCAAGGCAGGTGGACAGCCTGAGGTCAGGAGTTTGAGACCAGCCTGACCAATCTGGTGAAACCCCGTCTCTACTAAAAAATACAAAAACAATTAGCTGGGCATGGTGACATATGCCTGTAGTCCCAGCTACTCTGGAGGCTGAGGCAGGAGAATTACTTGAACTTGGGAAACGGAGGTTGCCTTGAGCTGAGATCGTGCCACTGCACTCCATCCTGGGCGACAGAGCGACACTCTTGTTTCAAAAAAAAAAAAAAAAATAGTGGTTTCATACCTTTAGTCACATCCGTCACTGTGAACTCAATTATCACACCCTAACATACCATGATCTACTGTAAGCTAAGAGATCCAAGTAGACGTCCTCTAAGACTTCTCAGACTTACTCTTGCAAACTTTAGTTATGAATTGGAATTTGTAAGGCCCTTTCTTGGCTTCTTTAAAATACAGACATTCTCTTATTGACGGAGAGTATATGAGTTTTCTGTTGCTGCACACCAAATAACAATAAGCATGATGGCTTAAAACAATACCAGTTTATTAGATTACAGTTTGATAGGTCAGAAGTCTGGCTCAGCTCTTTCCTGGAGGCTCTGGTGAAGAATCCATTTCCAAGGTCATTCAGATTGTTGAGAAATTTAGTTTCTTGCTACTGTACAACTGCTATGCCTTTTTCCTTACTGGCTGTCAGCTGGGGCCACTTTCACCTTCTAGAGGCCTCCCACATTCCTCGGCATGCGGTCTCCTCCCTCTGCAAAGGCAACAATGCTGGAATCTTTCTAGTGCCTTCAGCCTCTCTGACTTTTTCTTTGACTACCAGCTAGAGAAAGCTCTCTAATTAGATCAAGCCTGCTATATGATGTATACCCTGTCTTATGCTCTACTAGGCAATATAATATAAACATAGTCACAGTCATAGCAGTGATATCTCATCATGTTCACAGGACCCAGAGATCAGGTCATGGAATCTTGGGATAGGGCCATTTATAGAATTCTGCATATGATGATGGACAATAGGTAAACCTAGATATTTTTTAGAGTTGGGAAGGTGGAGCTATTCCATCCTTTCCTGTTTGATTCTATACTTTCTTCTGAGTTTCTGGAGTATATAGGCAGGTAGATATCAGGCCTGTAAATAAGGGTACATTATGACCAGGGAACAGGGAAATGACTGATTTTTAAAATATTACAAATTTAATAGGTTAGAGATGGATTACCAGACAGTCTATGTATGTCACCAGCTTTTTCAAGAGAAAGAGTGCTGAAAGCTTAACACAGGTGTCTGATTCTCCCTTCCAAGCCACCCCCGCCCCCATTTTCATTTGTTATTTTCTCATTTTAACTGGTGCTGCATAGCTTAGTCTTTTTCTTTGAGCTTTTCAATCCACTTTTGTAGCCTATGTAATTGCTCACTAATATCTAATTAGATTTTCTGTCATTGCTCTTTATTCCTTCTACTTTTTGTTGCTGTTTTTCCCAGTTCTGTAATTTCCTGTATGCTCACAACCATTAAGAATTTAAGCAGGAAAGATAAAAAAAAAGGTGGCACAGGAAAAAAGGGACAATCGACAGGGTAGACATGACGGTTGGAGTGACATGAATAAAGAGACACAAAATTGCTATTAAGTATTGAAACTGGCCATAAGCCAACCATGAAAAATGTTTAACAGATATAAAAAATTCAATTGCTTAATTAATTGTCAAAACTATTATAGAGGAATGAATAATGGACACAGTTGGGTACATATTGTCAAGGAAGAAAGTAGCTGGTGATGTTAATATGTAGTTATTTCATAACATTTCAGTGACTATATATGTTGTTGAACTTGCTTGTTGGAAACATTCAAATAAGTTTAGAGCAAAGATTGTGAAGTAAAGAGTGCGTGTGATTAAAATTAAGAGGTTTATGTGATAATTTTCTTTGCTAAGGGGCAGCCTAGTACCACAGATGCTTATTAAGCAGACTTAATGCTTAATTAAATCTTATCTACGAGTAGCTTTCAGAGAGAGCAGGAATGTAGAACTGAGTAAAAAAGCAGAATTTATGACTTAAACGATGTTGTGAATTTAAATTCAAAGTCAGTTTATAATTGGCTGATTTGCTTTAGTGTAGATCTGATCTTTGTGTTTTTTAATGTCTTGTTTTAATTTTATGTGTAAATGTTTAAACATTAATGATAGCTCTTATGATTTAGTAGCAGGAAAAAACTCATTTTAACATTTTATTTCATTGATTCTCCCCCCTGCCCCCCCACCCCCAACAGAGAAGACAGAGAAGCACGATTTCTAGCCAGTAAAATGGGAATCATAGCAACATTCCGATCATGGGCAGGTAGGTTACTCTACATTGCTTTATAACATTCAAGAAGAAAAACTAGACTGCTTTTTCAAATGTTAAATTATTATTGTAGCATCTAATTCAGATGCTAATCTAGTCTTACTTTGTGTGTTATTATTAGAACCAAAGGAATTCATACAAAATTATTAAAATATGGTGAAGAAAATTTGTAATAGTCAATAGGAATTAGCTAATATTATGATCAGTATACACATATTTATTAATTATTTGCCAGTCACTGTGCTAATGATTACCTGGGCAATTAAAAAAAAATTTAAGCATGATCTTTACCAAAATAACCTACAAAACTTGAGTGTTAGCTGTATATGTAACTTAAGTTTGTTACTTAAAAGTACAATGTAGTGTCATAAATACAAAATAAGCAAGATAGGTCATTAATAGTTCCAAATTTCTTCAGAATAGTGAGTGTACATGTTTTCTCTTTCCATGGAATAAAAAGTAAATACTATTTTTAAAATAATACCACCATTAAATGTGTTGTTAATAACATTGGGGTTTTGCCGTTAAGAGTAATTGAGAGTAATGGCAAAAACCGCAATCACTTTTGTACCCAATGTATTGATTATCTTCTTCCTTCTTGATTTTGTATTATTGTGAAGGGGTAGCATGGAAAAGAAGTAGCAATAAGCCAAAAAAAAAAAAAGAAATTCACCTAAACATTTCTGTGAACCTAGGTAACCCTAACTTACAAATACCTTTTCCATACAAATGTTTACTCCAGCCATTTGTATGGAAGGGCCACTTGGCCCCTAACCAGTATGTTTCCAGGGATTTTCTCTGTTCTCTTAGGAGCTTGGTAAAAAGCTCTGCCTTCTATACCTCATAAATGCCTATTTTCCTTACGCTGATGGACAACCATAGGATTCTATGATGACACAACAGTCATACATACTTTTTAAAAATACTTCATCAGCTCCCCAATACTTTGTTTTCTGTAGTTACAGTCATCTTCCTTTACCACTCTTCAGCTTCCTTGTCATTAGAGCTGTTTGTATCTTACCAAAAAAATCAATTCTATCCTGCATCCTAGCTACTATCTCCTTATTCTTCCTACATACAGACTCTACGCTTCCTGTAATGATTTCTGTTTCTGCCAGTCTCTTTCCTTATTGCTCTTAAACATTCTTTCTACTGTGTTTCAATTTCCCCTGGAGCTCTTTTATACTGATTCATCATTAGAAACTTAGAGGGGTGGGGCCGGGTGTGGTTGCTCATGCCTGTGATCCCAGCACTTTGGGAAGCCAAGGTGGGTGGATTACCTGAGGTCAGAGATTCGAGATCAGCCTGGCCAACATGGTAAAACCCTGTCTCTACTAAAAATACAAAAATTAGCCGGGTGTGGTGGCGGGCGCCTGTAATCCCAGCTACTCGGGAGGCTGCAGCAGGAGAATCGCTTGAACCCAGGAAGTGGAGGTTACAGTGAGCCGAGATTGCGCCAGTGCACTCCAGCCTGGGTGACAGAGTGAGACTCCGTCTCAAAAAAAAAAAAAAAGAGAGAAGGAAACTTAGAGGGGTGGGAGTCTTCTACCTTTCTATTGAAGTAAGAAGAGAAATGTCGTAATTACAAGTTAAAATCTTGAAAGCATTTGTCTTATGGAAATAACTTCCTAAATAATATTTATATTCTGTAGTACTGTTTATAAGTTAAATAAACTTTTGTGTATTGTAACATTATTTCTTTGATGTATTTCCAGTTCCAAAAAACTGATTGAAAAATGATCTTTTAGAACAGATTTTTTAATGAGATGCAATAACAGCCTGTTTTCCATATTAGCAGAGTACGATCTTTTGAGACTATATCTTATCTGTAATTTCTCAAACTACTATCAGACATCAAAATTTGCGAAATACTATTTTGATACTTTAAGCAAATAAGCTTATCTAGTATGTTTTAATTTGAATTTTGATCCTGAATCTGAAGAGAACAGAGAGACGGTTCATAAATAATCTGTACGCTTAGCTAGAAGTACAAGGAACTTTAGAGTCCTATAAGACATTTTAAAGAATGTTTTCCCTAACATGTCATGAAAAATTTGAAACATACATAAAAATTGAAAAAACTATACAGTGAGCACCCATATACTTCCACCTAGATTTTACTGTGTTTGCTGTATTATGTATCTGTCCATCTGTCCATCCCCCTGGGCATTCATCAGTCCATCTATGTTATTCTAATATATCTCAAAGGAAGTTGCAGACATAGTCCTCTTCACTCCTGAACACTGCAGCATGCACATTATTAACTAGAATTAGATGTTTGTTTATGGTCCTGATTTGTTTTCGGGGGGAGAGATTTGAGGTAAATTTATGTAGAGTGAAATGCACACATCATTAGTCTACTGTTTGATGCATTTTGACAAATGCTTACACCTTTGTAATTCAAACCCTTTTCAATGTATAGAACATTATCATTGCCCTAGAAAGTTCTCTTATACTCTTTCCTAGTCAGTTTTTGACTCAGTACTCCCAAGAAGGAACACCATTATTTTTGTGGCTTAGTTTTGCCTATTCTGAAACTTATTATTAGTGGAATCATACTGATACAAAGGCTTTTTTAAGTAAGACTCCTTTCACTTGACATAATGATTTTGATACTCATTTATGTTATTGTATATATCGGTAATATGTTCCCCTTTTTTACTAAGTAATATGCAATGAACATTTCAGTTTTTGTTGGTTTTTTTTTTTTTTTTGCCCTTCTCCTGTTACGGAACATTTGACCTGTTTCTAGATTTGACTATTCAAAGCCCCTTTATCAAAGATAAAGCTTCTTTGAGCAATTTTATACAAGCTTTTTTTGCGGACATGAGTTTTTATTTCTCTTGAGTAAATACCTAAATGGAATTGCTGGGTCTGAGAGTGGATGTATGTTTGTGTCCATGAGAAACTGGCAGACTTTTTCCCAAAATACTTACACTGTTTTATACTCCCATCGTCAGTGTATGTGAGTCCCAGTTGTTCTGCATCCTTGTCAGTATTTGGTGTTGTAAGTCTTTAATTTTAGCCATTCTAGTAGGTATATTTTGGTTTCTTGTTATTAATATAGTTTGCATTTCCCTAATGACTAATGATATTGAGCATTTTGCATGTGTTTATTGGCTATTCATACATCTTTTGTGACATGATTTTAATGTTTAAAATTGTTCAACTTAGTTCTGTAACTTAAAAATTTTGAATCATTTTTTCATGTGTCTGTTGGCTGTATGAATGTCTTCTTTTGAGAAATGTCTGTTCATATCCTTTGCCCACTTTTGGATGGGGTTGTTTGTTTTTTTCTTGTAAGTTTGTTTGAGTTCTTTGTAGGTTCTGGATATTAGCCCTTTGTCAGATGAGTAGATTGCAAAAATTTTCTCCCATTCTGTAGGTTGCCTGCTCACTCTGATGGTAGTTTCTTTTGCTGTGCAGAAGCTCTTTAGTTTGATGAGATCCCATTTGTCAATTTTGGCTTTTGCTGCCGTTGCTTTTGGTGTTTTAGACACTGGCCATCAGAGAAATGCAAATCAAAACCACAATGAGATACCATCTCACACCAGTTAGAATGGCGATCATTAAAAAGTCAGGAAACAACAGGTGCTGGAGAGGATGTGGAGAAATAGGAACACTTTTACACTGTTGGTGGGATTGTAAACTAGTTCAACCATTATGGAAAACAGTATGGCGATTCCTCAAGGATCTAGAACTAGATGTACCATATGACCCAGCCATCCCATTACTGGGTATATACCCAAAGGATTATAAATTATGCTGCTATAAGGACACATGCACACGTATGTTTATTGCAGCACTTTTCACAATAGCAAAGACTTGGAATCAACCCAAATGTCCATCAGTGACAGATTGGATTAAGAAAATGTGGCACATATACACCATGGAATACTATGCAGCCATAAAAAAGGATGAGTTTGTGTCCTTTGTAGGGACATGGATGCAGCTGGAAACCATCATTCTTAGCAAACTATCACAAGAACAGAAAACCAAACACCGCATGTTCTCACTCGTAGGTGGGAACTGAACAATGAGATCACTTGGACTCGGGAAGGGGAACATCACACACCGGGGCCTATCATGGGGAGGGGGGAGGGGGGAGGGATTGCATTGGGAGTTATACCTGATGTAAATGACGAGTTGATGGGTGCAGCACACCAACATGGCACAAGTATACATATGTAGCAAACCTGCACATTGTGCACATGTACCCTACAACTTGAAGTTTAATAATAATAAAAAAAAAAAGAAAAAAAATTTTGAATCATATAATTTATTTGAAGTCTATTGCTTACTGTGCATTCAATATATTTTAGAATTAAACTTCTAAATAATAAATGCCAAGTAGAGTTTTTCACTTTAAAGTGAGGAGCATAAAAGAGGGAAGACAGACCATTGTCTTATTGTCTCCCATGTTCTTACTCCCAGAGAAGCGTTCATCAGGCAGTCAGACTCATGAACTTTTTGGATATGAAACAGATACTGAAGATGGAATTTAAGTGATGAAATTACTGGTAATCTCTAATCAGTAGAGAAATACGGAGTTTGCTTCAAATATATTTCAGTTATATAATAGCTCTTATGATGACCAAATAGTATCATAGATAATCATATAATTTTGCCTGGAAAAATATAACAGATTTTATCTTATACCTTGCTATAGAAATTTTTTTGAAATTCATGTCAGTGATTTTTTTTTTCTTTATATCCTCTTTAGGTATTATTAATTTATGTAAACCTGGAAACTCTGGGATCCAGTCTCTAATAGGAGTACTTTGCATACCAAATATGGAAATAAGGGTAGGTAAAAGTTACTAGGATTGTTTCATTCCTGGACCTTTAACAGTGGGAATTAATTATATAACAAAAATTATTTCAGGTGATACTATTTCCTCATTAGTTGTTGATCTATATCATATTTTTAAAGTACACAAGTACATATTTACTACTTAGTTAAACCCTAAACATAATAGGAATAAATTTAAATATTGCTGTTGTTAGGAATAATGGCTGTATTAAAAATTGAGTTGAGACCAGACATGGTGGCTCACACCTGTAGTCCCAGCACTTTAGGAGGCTAAGGCATGTGGATCACCTGAGGTCAGGAGTTCTAGACCAGCCTCCTCAATATGGTGAAACTCCGTCTCTACTAAAAATACAAAAAATTAGCCAGGCACCTGTAATCCCAGCTACTCAGGTGGTGGGTGCCTGTAATCCCAGCTACTCAGGAGACTGAGGAAGGAGAATCGCTTAAACCTGGGAGGTGGAGGTTGCAGTGAGCCAAGATCGCAACATTGCACTCCATTCTGGGCAACAAGAGCGAAACTCTATCTCAAAAAAACAAAAGTTGAGTTGAAAATATGAACTTAATTATGCTTTATTCATTAAAACAATGTAAATAACACACGGGCATTCTCACTATAAAAGGTTCAAGCACTACAGACTACATTTAACAAAAAGTAAAAGTATTTATGCTTTCTAACTTATGTTTTGTAATATGTGGTGAGATTTTATTTTAATGATGGTGGTTTTGATTAAAATGGAGTTGTTAATATTTCTATATTTATTAGATATATTTCTAAATTATTTGTAAGAATTTGTAATATACAGTAAAATTGAATTTGAAGGAAAAGAGAATTCTTAAAGTGATTTTTTTCCTTTCTCCTTAAATGTTTTTATTTGTTTTAATTTTGTTTCTTCCTTTTGCCCTTCCTTATATGAACCAAACCTGGAGCTGAAAAATATTATTAGAAAATATTAGCCAGGTGTGCCTTGTTTAAATGTGAAATAAAAAGTATTTAGATAATGGAAATGAAAGGATATGATTATAAATGGAAAGATTTGTAAGCAGGTAACAAACTGTTGAGGTAACTCATTTCTTACCCTGTAGGTGGATAAAGAACATGGTCTTTGGAGAGTCTGACCAACTGAGGTTTAACCTCTGGTTTTATTTATTTTTTTGTTAGCTCCATGACCTTGGGAAAATTGCTTTTTTGCACAATTAGGTTAATGAAAAATTTAATGACTAGATTAAGTGATGTATGTCATAGTGAGCATTTAGTCATCCCTTCTCTAATATAGGCCTTATACAGTTTCAAAATATGGTATAGTCATGCATTGGTTAATGACAGGAATATGTTCTAAGAAACTCACTGTTAGATGATTTCATCCTGTGAACATCCTAGAGTACACTTACACAGACCTAGATGGTATAGTCTACTACGTACCTAGGTTATGTGGTATAGCTTATTGCTTCTAAGTTGCAAACCTGTATAGCATGTTACTGTACTGAGTACTGTAGGCAGTTGTAACACAGTGGAATTCGGGTATCTAAACATCTAAACATAGAAAAGGTACAATAAAAATACAGTATAAAAGATTAAAAATACTGGCCAGGCACGGTGGCTCATGCCTGTAATCCCAGCACTTTGGGAGGCCGAGGCGTGTGGATCATGAGGTCAGGAGATCGAGACCATCCTGGCTAACACGGTGAAACCCTGTCTCTACTAAAAATACAAGAAACTTAGCCGGGTGTGTGCGGGCACCTGTAGTCCCAGCTACTTGGGAGGCTGAGGCAGAATGTCATGAACCCAGGAGGCGGAGCTTGCAGTGAGCCGAGATCGTGCCACTGCACTTCAACCTGGGCCACAGAGCACAGCACCTATCTAGGGTACTTACAGTGCATGGAGCTTACGGGACTAATAGTAGCTCTGGATGAGTCAATGCATGAGAAGTGAGTGAATATTAAGACCTAGGACATGACTGTACACTACTATAGACTTTACAGACTTGTACACTTAGGCTACATTTATTTTACTAAAATTTCTTTTCTTCAAAAATAATTAACTTTAGCTTACTGTAACCTTTTTACTTTATAACTTTCAAATTTTTTAAACTTTTGACTCTTTTTGCAATAATATTTACCTTAAAACACACATTGTGTAGGTGTACAAATTTTTTTTTGGTTTTAATATCCTTATTCTGTAAGATTTTTGTTTTTTAATTTTTTTTCTTTTTAAACTTTTTTGTTAAAAACGAAAACACAGGCCAGGCGCGGTGGCTCACAACTGTAATCCCAGCACTTTGGGACACCAAGGCAGGCAGATCACCTGAGATCAGGAGTTCGAGACCAGTGTGGTCAACATGAGGAAACCCCATCACTACTAAAAATACAAAAATTAGCCGGTCGTGGTGGCAGGTGCCTGTAATCCCAGCTACTCAGGAGGCTGCAGCAGGAGAATCGCTTGAATCCGGGAGGCGGAGGTTGCAGTGAGCCGAGATCGCACCACTGCACTCCAGCCTGGGAGACAAGAGTGAGACTTTGTCTCAAAAAAAAAAACCAAAAAAACCACACACACACGTGCGCACACACTAGCCTAGGATCATCAGTATCACTGTCTTCCACCTCCATACCTTGTCCCACTGGAATGTCTCCAGGGGCAGTATACATGAATGAAGCTGTCATCCTCTGTGATAACCATGTCTTGTTATGGAATACCTGCCTGAGGCTGTTTTACAGTTAACCTTTTTTTTTTTTTTTTTTTTAAGAGACAGTGTCTTGCTCTGTCACCCAGGCTAGAGTGCAGTGGAATGATCATAGCTCACTGCATCCTCAAACTTCTCAAATCAAGTGATCCTCTTGCCCTAACCTCCCGAGTAGCTAGGACTACAGGAACGTACCACCACACCCAGTGAATTTTTAAATTTTTTGTAGAGATGGGGTTTCACTATTTTCCTAGTCTCAAAATTCTGGCCTCCAGCAATCCTCCCACCTTGGCTTCCCGAAGTGCTTTTTTGGGTTTTTTTTTATAGTATAGGAGTGCACTCTAAGATAATGATAAAAGGTATAGTAAATAGGTAAACCAGTAACACAGTCATTTATTATCAAATATTATGTAATTGTACATAATTCTATATATAATACTTTTAAACAACTGGCAGTGCAGTGAGTTTGTTTACTCCAGCATCACCACAAACAGTTGAGTAATATTGCCCTGTGACAGACAATATGACTGCTACAGTTTCACTAGGCAATAGGAATTTATCAGCTTCATCATAATCTTAGGAAACCACCATTGTATATATGGTCCATCATTGACTAAAATGTTGTTATATGGCATGTCATTGTATTAACAGTTCTGTTTTTATCATTTTTAAAATTGTGTGACTAGGACATTTAAAAATTTTTAAGTGTTTCATAAAAATAAATGAGGTGTATTTGTTTGCTAATTTAGCGAGGTCTACTTGAAGTGCTTTATGATATCTTTCGTCTTCCTCTACCTGTTGTGACTGAGGAGTTCATAGAAGCATTACTCAGTGTAGGTAAGTATTGAAGTACATTTGTATCTTTTCATATATTGTAATTTTTATTTAATGGAGACAAAGTTCCTAAAAGGAGAAATAGTAAATATTGAACACCATTTTCTTTTCTTGCTGCATAATTGTGGCAGGAAATTAATATAAAAATAAAACCTGGAATTCCTAAGACTGAGAAATTTTAATTTCTTCTTTATCACCTTGGCTCTTAGAGCAATTAAATTAATAGGAATGGGCCAACAAAGGAAGAGAGGAGACAGTAAGAAACCTATGTAATCCTCAGATTATCTAATTATCATCTTACATTATTTGAGCCAAATGACTTAAAGTACCGAAGTCCCAAAATGAAGGAAATTAGATCTGCGTATATTTACTTAACTAGTTTTTGTTTTTATCTTTTTGAATGTATGGTATTTAACCAGCACTTTTTAAACTTCTTTGTAGCCTGGCTAGCTGATGATTTTATACTCATCTGAAATGTTTCAGTGGTATCTAATCTTTTCCTTACCGTATTTTAACTATTTTAGATCCTGGGAGGTTCCAAGACAGTTGGAGGCTTTCAGATGGCTTTGTGGCAGCTGAGGCAAAAACTATTCTTCCTCATCGTGCCAGATCCAGGTAGAATTTAAATATAAAAAGGATTTCAATTTATTAGAATTAGGGTTTTTATGTTAGACTGTATAATCTGTGAAACTTTATTTAAATTGTTTCTCTGCTTTTTTTTTCCAGGCCAGACCTCATGGATAATTATTTGGCATTGATACTCTCTGCATTTATTCGTAATGGACTTTTAGAGGTAAGACTTATAAACCTTATTTTATTCCATTTGGTTTATTTTCTCTAACAGATTCTTTCAGGCCAGCCATGGTGGCTCACGTCTGTAATCCCAACACTTGGAGAAGCCAAGGCAGGTGGATCGCTTGAGGCCAGGAATTCAAGACCAGCCTGATCAGCATGGTGAAATTCTGTCTCAATTAAAAATACAAAAATTATCCACGCATGGTGGCACACCCCTGTAATCCCAGCTACTTGGGAGACTGAGGAATGAGAATTGCTTGAACCCAGGAGGCAGAGGTTATACTGAGCCGAGATCTTGCCATTGCACTCCAGCCTGGGCAACAGAGCAAGACTCTTGTCTCACAAAAAAAAAAAAAAAAAATTTGCGGATTGAAAAATAAATCTGATGCATAAATGTATTCATATGTATTATTTTGCAACAGTGATGTTATCTTTTTATTTTCAAAGGGCCTAGTTGAAGTGATAACAAACAGTGATGATCATATCTCAGTTAGAGCTACCATCCTTTTAGGAGAGCTTTTACATATGGTAAGTTTATCAAGTTCTGATTATATGTTTCATACCTTTAATGTTTGAATTTATAAAATGGGTTATTTTAATAGTGTTGCTTTGTATTATCTCAAAAAAATAAATTTGCATTTTTTATAAATGTTTATCTTTGCATTACAAAAGGCGTTTGGTACTATATCCTGAGATAGATACATATGTGCATGCGTGCACATGCACACACACATATTTCTATTGGTTTTGTAAATGGAATAAGTATACAACATACAAAATACTGAAATGTTGATTTTTACACTCAGTTTCAAAGTTGCCATTTTCATCCTGTAAATCTTAATTGATCTCAGAAAGACTTCCTAAGAAGCAAGAAACTGCAAAACTATGGATACTACTTCAGTCTGCTAAGAATGTACTTGATATGTGGTAGTCAGTGCCTGAATTTTAGAAAGCTTTGTGCAGAAGCTTTAAATATAGTCTTGGTTGAGCATTATAGTCTTTTCTAGAAACTTGTAGTTTGAGGTTCAGAAGATGGGTTGTTTTTTTTTCTTTTCACCATGATTTTGTGATTACAGTAACTTTTGGAAAGTAGGAGCTAGGAAAGACTTGACAATTCTTTACTCTCAGCAAATCAGTCGATGAGAGATCCCTGATAGTTTGCAAGGTAGGAATTTATATTTTTAGTTTACTTACTAGTTAGTAAAATACAAAATAAAAAGAAACATTTAAAACTCATTGAGGAAAAATTGATTCTATGGCAAATCTTTTGAAATTATGTCACAGTTTGCTATTTTTAGCAGATGTTTTTTGTTTAGGTTTTTCTTTCTTGATCACTTCCCCTCCTCCCCACCCTTTTTCCCCTTTCATAGCAACTGGGCTATGTGAGTGAGGTAAAGAGCATTAGGTAGAGTTTAATTTAACTGTCTTTTTTTAAATAAGTGAATTATTTAGCTGCTTGCTCTGTTCTTTTTTGGCCCATCTGTGAAAAAATGATGTAGTGTCAGAGGCTTTCAGGTCTGATTGTTTGTCTTTTAATTCTTAAGATATCATTTCCTATTCAAGAATACCAATACTCAGAGTTATTTGCATTTATATGAAGGAATCTCTGTACATTTTATCTTTTTCCCTTGTCCCATACCCAGAATTCTGTAATTCTCTTGAAATAAAAGAGTTGGTTATTTTGCTTATTGTTCTTAAATTTTCTGTCTTCCACATTTGATTGATGTACTTGTCTTCATTGATAGCTGGTTGGGTGGTGAGGTTTTTGTTTGGAAAGTGGAATTAATATTCCTTATTTTAAAGATTATGGCATATGGGACAAACCTATTTTGAGATAGTAGTTTTTAAAACTTAAAGTCGACTCATAAATTTGGATATGGCATCTAGCATTTGACATGTTACTTTAAACATAACTTAGGTTGAGTCCTGTAATGTTTTGACATATAACCCCTTCTGGTCATTTAAGAATTGAGTTTAATTGGGTATCACTTGAAAACCATATTATTATAATAAAGAATCTATGAAACTTAATGGTTATGTTAATATAATGTGTGTATCTTTATATTTCATCCATGTTGAAAGTATTGTAGATATGATAAAAATATAAATAAGCATGTATTGGGGTAAAGAAGAATTTTATGAATAAAACCTCAGAATTTGTAATAGTTTTGAATACAGCATTATATGTGCAGGTAATCTATAACAAACTATTTCTACTTCTGAAAACTCATGTAAAATGTTATACTTCATTTTAGGCAAACACAATTCTTCCTCATTCACATAGCCATCATTTGCACTGCTTGCCAACCCTAATGAATATGGCTGCATCCTTTGATATTCCCAAGGAAAAGAGACTGTAAGTTATCAGAGCTTTAGCAGAGTTTTTGTTTAATATATTTAATATTGAATTAGATTATTGTCTCTTTAAAAAAAAATAGTACGGATAGGTTATGCTGGGAAATTCTTTTAAGGAATTTGCTAAAGAAAAAACAGTTCTAAAAATATTTAATTTGTTTTTTAGGCTACAAAATACTAATAGTGTAATAAAATCACTTGTTTTCTAGCATGTTTGTAGACAAGGACATAGAATTGTTATCATATTACTAAAAATGTTAGCTGAGAGTTTTTTGGACTCCTTTACGTCGTGAGCAGCAATTCTGGCTCTTTTTTTTTTATGTCTATGAACTATTTCAAATTAAAGCTTTACAATATTAATATATTCTTTTATTTGCATGGTTAAAAATGTTGGAATTCAGTAACAAGTACTACTGGACCACATAGCAGTAAGCTAAACTCTTACTACTGAAGGAGATATTGCAAACATAGAATTTACAAACAAAATTAGGGTAATACAACTATAGCTCTGCTGGAATTCCAGTGCTAATAATAAAACATATATAAAAGGCAATGATGGAAGGGCTCAATTGGGAAGTGCTAGGAGGAACTTAGTTTTACTTGGGGGAGATTGTATCTAGGCTAGGAATGTCTTTTTGTGATTGTTATCTTTTTTTATTTTGTTACTATAATCAGAAACATATTTTTTTGTTTTTTTGCTTGATGTTAGCGAATGGAGTTTTTTAGCTATTCAAAATTTATGTATTTTTGTTAAGAGTTATAGTACATTTTTGAAAAGTTCACTTAGCTTTAATAATAAAGTACACTGAATAATCTATTAATTTTCATTCTGCCATTGGAAATACTGTTTAACAGACCAGAGTTGTCCTATAAACTGAGGGCATTAGGAGTCATCTCAGTTCTGTCTCTAGGCTTACATCAGTAATAGTAGCTTTTAGCTTTTATATTAGTAGTTTCATGATGGAAGAATGTACTTTCCCAATGCCTGATAGACCTAAACTCTGGGTTAGATTATGGCCACAAATTCCACGGTTCGTTAGTAATTCAGATTTATCTCCAGAATTCCAGTAAGAATAGTCATCTTAAAATAGTTTTATCTTTAGCTCAATAAGCTTTCTTTATTAATAAATACTTGCCAGTCAGCACATCCCAATGTTTAAAAATTCCACTTACTAGAAATTCTGAAGGTGAGAGTTGCTACCATATTCTTCAAAATGGCACTTTTATGTACCACAAAGAATTAAATATAATTTATAAAAATACACTATTTACAATTACAGACCAATGGTGGAAAATAGAGACTGTTCAGTTGATACTGGGATCATTGATTATCCATATGGGAGTACAGTGAAATTATTTCAACCTCATATCATAAACAAAAATAAGTTTCAGGTGGATTAAGGATTTATATGTGAAAAGCAAAGCTTTAAAACTTTGATAAGAAAATATAGAAAACCAGGTTTCTGACCTTGTAGGAGTTCCTAAAACCAATATACAAAAAATACCTACCACCATAGAAGAAAAGTATAGTAAGTACATGTTCAATTGAGTCTAAATAATCAGTGTGTCTTTATATAAATTAGTAGTGTTGTTTATTTTTTGTCTTTGTCTCTCCAAATTTGATGAAATAATTTACTTTATCAATAATAATTTATAGCCTTGAACTTACGTAAGCTTTAATAATTTACCAAGGTAATCTTTTAAATTATGTTGGTCTTGCTACTGTATTCATTGAATTGTTTTTCTCATTAGGCGAGCCAGTGCAGCCTTGAACTGTTTAAAACGCTTCCATGAAATGAAGAAACGAGGACCTAAGCCTTATAGTCTTCATTTAGACCACATTATTCAGAAAGCAATTGCAACACACCAGAAACGGGATCAGTATCTCCGAGTTCAGAAAGATATATTTGTTCTTAAGGTACTGACATGAAATCATGATTTTCAACTTAAACACAACATCTTAATTCCTTAACCATTGGATTTTAGTATCCATGTATTTGAGTTTGCACTTTTCTTCATCCATATGAATTTTCAGATGGCTTCTGAGTTTTATAATTTAGAGATGGGTTTTTATAACTTTAAAGTTAAAAAAAAACCTTGATGTATCCTTAAATGGAAAAACTGCCTTTCAGTTTTTCAAATTTGAACTTAGTTTTCTGATATGAGGACGGTTTGCTTTAATTTTTCTTATTACTTTCTGATGATTTTAGGATACAGAGGAAGCTCTTTTAATTAACCTTAGAGACAGCCAAGTTCTTCAACATAAAGAGAATCTTGAATGGAATTGGAATCTTATAGGGACCATTCTTAAGGTATGAAAAGATACTTCATGGCAATGGCTTGTCTTTAATTTTATTATTAATTATAACATAATTACATGTTTGAGAATTGATAAGTACATATGTAATATAACATATTATGTTTTTCTAGTGGCCAAATGTAAATCTAAGAAACTATAAAGATGAACAGTTACACAGGTATGTAAGAACTATTTTGCATTTAAATTTAAAGAACTTAAATATGGATATTAGGCCTAATGCCTACTAAAATATGTAATAATTTTAAAGACATATACATACATTTTAACAATGTCTCTTCAGTAGGTACATTCATATATTTTTTAATATAGTCTTATTTTATAACCAAAACATATTAGCAAATTCTTTTTCTAGTTATTTACATTCTGCTTTTACTTTTGGAATAGATAAAGTAGTTGAGATAAAAGTTTTTCGAATTGGGGTAATATCAACTGTGTAGTGGGTCTTAGCCCTAACATATAAGGATGATATAATAAGGACTTATATTTTTAATATACAGCTTTTATTCCTGTTTGACTTTGGAGTTATCCATTATAACTGCTGTTTACTTTCTCCTTAACCACACCTTCCATAACCCGTGCAGATGTTTGTAGCATGAAGAACACTTGAAGCTACTATGCTGTTCTTCATTATACCCATATGTTTTTACTCCTGAGTTTAGACTAACCAGCTATTACTACTGATCTCAGAAAGAGGTCCTTAGTATGTTCAAGAAATTCATGTCATTAACATTATTATTTGATTGCATTCTCTATTCATGATATGTAACCTAATATCTGTAAAAGTTTTAAGAAATATAGATAACTTGTAAATTGCACTGAAATAAAAAAGCATAGTACTAACTTTTTATATTCCTTGAGAACACAGATGATGTCTTACTCAACTTTGTTTTCCCAGCTCCTGGATTGGACACCTCTATTGGATTGAATTGTAGTGCACTACATTGAACTGAACTAAATTCAATAGAAGCTTAGAACATAATGTTGAAAGATATAATGTTAAAAGATCATAAATTACGTTTATAAATTCATTAGCCTAAATTGCAACTTTTATGCTTGACCTTTTGCCTAATTGTGAAAAACCAACAATATCATAGTGTAGTATCTTACAATTATCTTAACAATAGGACATTTTTGAGCCATGGGACAAAGTTCTTCATGAATACAATAGAAGAAAATTTAAGTTCAGGTGACATCCTCATTTATCCAGTTTTATATTCTAGCTACATTAAATCTACATTCATCCGGCCAGCATCTTTCTTCTACTTTATTTCTTCTAACCATCTCACCATAAAATTCTTACTCCACAGAGATATTTTTTAAAATGAAGGTTTTTTTGTTTGGTTGGTTTTTGGGTTTTTTTTTTTGTTTTTGGTATGAAATGCTGCTATAAATAACGCCTGAGACTGGATAATTTCTATAAAGGAAAGAGATTTAATTGACTCACAATTCCACATGGCTAGGGAGGCCTCAGGAAACATAATTGTAGCAGAAGGGGAAGCAAACATATCCTTCTTCATATGGCAGCAGGAGAGGGAAGTACAGAGCATAGGGGGAAAAGCTGCTGATGAAACCATCAGATGTGAGAACTCACTGTCACGAGAACAGCTTGAGGGTACCCCCATAATCTTATCTCCTCTCATGAGGTCCCTTTCATGACATGTGGGGATTATGGGAACTACAGTTCAAGGTGAGATTTGGGTGGGGGCACAGCCAAACCATATCATGTACCAAACACTTTTAATACATCTCTTGCCATTTATCCCAATGGGTCAGACCCAAAACATATTCTGAAAGCCTTATTATGTCATGAGCAAAGGTTAAGATTCTAAAATAATTGCTTCATTTCTTACCTTGTTGCTACTTGTGTTTTGATTTTAGATTTGTACGAAGACTACTTTATTTTTACAAGCCCAGCAGTAAATTGTATGCCAACCTGGATCTGGATTTTGCCAAGGCCAAACAGCTCACAGTTGTAGGTTGCCAGTTTACAGAATTTCTTCTTGAATCTGAAGAGGTGAGCATTCTGAATATTTTCCAGAGCAAATGTTTTTTATTGAATTTGCTTCCCTTCCCCTCCCTCTGTTTCCACCTTCTGTTTTGCTTTTATTTCTGAATATGCATAAGCTGTATTTGGAAACATAGGAAATGATCCCAGACCTAGAGTTGAATCCGGACTTAGTCACTAGTTGTGAGACTGGGCAAGTTATCTGCCCTCTGGAAGACCTGGTTTACTCTTCTGTAAAATGGAGAATAATATCATCTCCATGTAGCATTGTGTTGAAGCAGATTAAAAAACAGCAGGTACTCACTGATTGATAGCTGCTATTGGTAACTTCATCATTATTAAGTTTTTGTACTTGATTGAAGTCGATTTTCTAATTACAGATTTTGAATGCTTTTCTCACAGTATCACAATGTATTTACTTTTAGGATGGGCAAGGTTACTTAGAAGATCTAGTAAAGGATATTGTTCAGTGGCTCAATGCTTCCTCTGGGATGAAACCTGAAAGAAGTCTTCAAAATAATGGTTTATTGACCACCCTTAGTCAACACTACTTTTTATTTATTGGAACACTTTCTTGCCACCCTCATGGAGTTAAAATGCTGGAAAAATGCAGTGTATTTCAATGGTGAGCATTCCTAAATTTTGTTGCAATATATACATAAACTTTATTTTTAATGTAGTTAGATATGGTATGCTTTTTAGTCTGTGTACATGTGTTTGGTTAAGTTTTGTTTTAAATTAGCATTATCTTTGCTTTAATATTCTTTTTTACATGATACTTGTTATTAAATGCTTTCTTTCCAAAAAGCTTGTTTATATTAGGAATTTTTAAAATATACATTAAAGTCTTTATGCTCTTCCCACTCCAGCATTCAAAATAGTAACTATGTGTGATGATTGATATGTTCATTGATTGTGGTAATTTTCACAATGTATGTGTATATCAAATCAAGTTGTACACCTTGAATAATACAATTTTTATTTGTCATGTATACTTCAGTAAAGCTGGAAAAAATATTTGTTTATTGCATCAATATAGTAATTGCTTTTAACCTTTCTTCTTCTTATTTTTTTAAGTCTCCTTAATCTTTGCTCCTTGAAAAACCAAGATCACTTGCTAAAACTTACTGTTTCCAGCTTGGACTATAGCAGAGATGGATTGGCTAGAGTCATCCTTTCCAAAATTTTAACTGCAGCTACTGATGTGAGTATAATATAGCCAGTAAAACTATTTCTATAAACAATTAATTTGCTACTTTATGAATTTTGAGCTAAGTAAAATTAATTTTAAATTCTAAGAATATGATATGGAAATTGAGTTTACTTTAAAATTTTAGTTTCTCCAAGGAACTCCATATAGTACTCATATTTTTATATCACAGAGAAGCTGCTAGATAGAAAGGGAAGTATTTTATTTTACAAGAACCACAAAAGTATTCATATCAAGGGCTAGACCACCAATTCCAGTCATTCTTCCCTTTTCAAGTAGCAGGACTCTCCCAAAATAAAATCAAATAGGTTATTTATGGTGAAGGATTTTTTTTTTTTTTAAATGTATTCATTTATCTTTATAGGCCTGCAGGCTCTATGCAACAAAACATTTAAGGGTATTATTGAGAGCTAATGTTGAATTCTTTAATAATTGGGGAATTGAGTTGTTAGTGACCCAGCTACATGATAAAAACAAAACGATTTCTTCTGAAGCTCTTGATATCCTCGATGAAGCGTGTGAAGACAAGGTAAATGTTCATTTTTTATAATTTAATACTTAAATTTTTTTGAAATACTCATTTGACAGTTTTGTAAAAATATATAATAGGCATTTTGGAACTAAAAAATTTTCTATTTTTGTGCAATTATTAAAAATAATGATAATCTCTTTTAGGCCAATCTTCATGCTCTCATTCAGATGAAACCAGCTTTATCCCACCTTGGAGACAAGGGTTTGCTTCTCCTCCTGAGGTAAATTTTAAGTAAATTTTCAGTTATGTTTTTTTGTTGTGTTCTTTGGCAGTGTATATTAAAGATAAATTCAAATCCAAATAGGAAATACTCTAAAGAGTTTACCTTTTAACATCTGAAATAAACCTATTTTAGACCTTGTACATCCTTTAATATTAAAACATTGTCTTTTCATTGTTTTGAGTTTTTTTGTTTTGTTTTGTTTTTTTAATTGGTCTGTTCGTACTTTTCATGACATTTTCCTTTTTTTTTTTTTGAGACAAAGCCTCACTTTGTCATTCAGGCTAGAGTGCAATGGTCCAATCTTGGCTCAATGCAACATTTACTGCCTCCCAAGTTCAAGTGATTCTCCTGCCTCAGCCTCCTGAGTAACTGGAACTAAAGGCTCACGCCACCACACCCAGCTGATTTCTTGTATTTTTAGTAGAGACAGAGTTTCACCATGTTGGCCAGGCTGGTCTCAAACTCTTGACCTCAGGTGATCCACTCACCTTGGCCTCCCACAGTGCTGGAATTACAGGCGTGAGCCGCCGTGCCTGGCTGACATTTTCTTTATTGTGATTGGGTTCTTGTGTTGTTGCAAAGATTGTGAAAATTTATTTGTAATTGAAGTTATAATAAATTATAGTTGACCTTTTAGTTTTATGAAGGAACTGTTCCTATAGTCTTTTAGCTCCTTATACTTTTTAAAATTTTAATTATTTTAGCTTCTTAAGACACTTTTTTTGCCAGACTCAATGTTAAACTATTGCTTGTTTTAATTTGCAGATTTCTCTCCATTCCAAAAGGGTTTTCCTATCTGAATGAAAGAGGTTATGTAGCAAAACAATTGGAAAAGTGGCACAAGGTAACTTCTTATTTGAATAAGGTTGAATTTGTGTGTTTTTATCTTCTGAAATTGATTCGTGAATTTAGAAGGATGGTTTTTTATATCACTATTTTGAAATTAATAAGGTTAAATATTTAAACATCCATATCAAGTTATCAAGTTGAGTCCTAAATTCTGCATAAGTGCTAGTATTTTTTTAAACTACAGTTATTTATTTTATTCTGAACTGTTGACTGTATTCATTCTATTGAAATTTGACTTTCAACTCATTTGATTTTATAATCTAATTTGTTGGCCCTATTTATCATTTCTTTCATTCTTGGGTCCCTTAATATAATCTACAACTTTGCTAGTGCCCTTTTAAGCTAAAATTAAAATAATTTTTTTAAATGAAGGGAGATTGAAATTCCAAGGAGATATAATCATTTAATTAAATTTTATTTTAGGATACTACTTTGCCTAAATCTGAGAATGAACTTCTTGCTGTCATAGGGAAACCTGATAAGAAGGGAGTAGTTTGAAGATATGAAACAACTTTTCTAGCTTTTCTTTAGCTGGTGATTGCTGTGGCTTCATTATTTTGTTTGAAGTATTATAAGTCATCAAAGCATCTTGGAAACCCATGGTCAGAATGATCTTTACCAATATAAATGATTTTTAGATTTTTCATCATTTCATCATTTCAGATCAGTTATCCTATTTTCTCTTTTTTGTTAGCATAGTTACAGATTCTTTTATAGTGTCTGTATTGAACCATATTTCATAAGAGATACTCCTAAATGGACTAAAACTTTGAAGCATACAACTTAAGGCATGAAGTCTTTTAGTATTTGATGAATTATAGAACTGAGACAAGATGTAATAGGTTTGTTTCCTAGAAGATATTTAAATCATCATAATAACATTTATTATACAAATCATAGCAGTAGAAAATTGCTTAGAATATTGGTGCAGTGCTTACAAATAGTAAGCATAAAGTATTTAAGAGCTATAACAAACTCATATGCAAGGTACAAGGGGGGAACACAGAGGAGAGATTAATGATTGAGCTTTAGGGATTATCAAAAGAAATGTTGGATAGGCGCAGTAGATGTGATACTTGAAATGATCTTGAGGAGTAAATAGGCAAATAAATTACAAGAAGGGTATCCACGGAAGGAGCAGAATAAAGCTGTAGAGATTATTGGAACATTATAGACTTATGAAGAAAGTCATATTCCAATGTAGTTGGAACTAAGATAAGTGTGGAGTAGCAAGATGAGGCTGGAATGGTAAATTAAAGCTAGATTGTAAAAGGCCTCTTAAGCCATATTATATCATCCTAAGGGATTTCTATTGTATATGTAGTGGGGAATCCTTAACAGCTTTTAAGGAGTTATGAGTTGCACTTTAGTAATCTGACAGGTTGCAGTGGAGAGACGGAATTTTGATCATTGAAGGGAAAGTCTAGGAATATTGACACGAGTTTAGAAACAAGAATTGATGAGTGCCTGAACTTCACTGGTAGTTAGGTTGAATAGATAAGGACACATTTTCTGGGCATTTTCAAAATAAGATGGACAGAATTTATGGGCTGATTGAATACAGTAAATAAGAGGTCCAACTTGGCTCATAAGATTTCTAATTTAATGAGTGACTATATAACGGATCACTATTAAGAGATCACATTTATAAAAAGTGGTTTGCTAAGATTAGGATAATGAATTTTCAGTATGTTGAACTGGCATTGCCTGTGCGATGACCAAGTGATGGCTTAAAAATGTGGATCTGGAGCTCAGATTTGTGAGGAAGATGGCAGATATGGGGGTCATTAGTATATAGTAGTAGTTGAAACCTGAGCCGAAAGCTTATGGGTATGATAGAACATTTGCATTCATAATACCTTGATCTGTCTACCCTTTGCTAAGTATCTGACATATTTTAAATTTAGTGACTGTCATTGTGATACTACGTGCAATTAAAACTATTATCTTCTAGGAATATAACTCAAAATATGTTGACTTGATTGAGGAACAACTCAATGAAGCACTTACTACTTATCGGAAGCCTGTTGATGGTGATAACTATGTTCGTCGGAGTAACCAAAGGTGTGTACCCAGTGCTAGTTCTCAGTTATCACATTTAAAACCAGTTCATCATAAATTGTTTTTAACATTTCTGAGTTTTTGTACATTCTGTTTCTTACATGATATAGGAAGAATCTTAACGTGCAGCGTTAATTGCTCAAAAATTCAGTGGCATTCATAGCATGTTGAATATCCTTACTGATAACGCATTCAGATATACTCCATGCTGGCACCCCAGTATGTATCTCTAGCCCTAGATTCTCTTACCAGTACTTTGAGATCTGATAAACTGTTACAGGTTGAACATCACTTATCCAAAATGCTCGAGTCCAGAAATGTTTCACATTTCAGATTTTTTCAGATTTTGGAATATTTGCATATATATAACGAGGTATCTTGGGAATGGTACCCAAGTCTAAACATGAAATTAATCTGTTTCATGTACACCTTATACACGTAGCCTAAACATAATTTTATGCAGTAAGTAATTTTGTGTGTGAAATAGTTTGCATTAAATACTAATGTGTGGAATTTTCCATTTACAGTGTCATGTCAGCGCTTAAAATGTTTTGGATTTTGGATCATTTTGGATTAGGGATGCTCAGCCTGTATTTTACCTGAGAAATCCTCATTCCTTCTTACTTTCATATTTTTATTTATGCTGGAGAGTTGTATCTAATTTTATTTATCAAATACTCATTGATACTCTTGTTCTGATTAGCATATTTAAATTATCCAGGAGATATAATAATCGTCTTTATTATACTAGATTACAGCGTCCTCATGTCTACCTGCCTATTCACCTGTATGGACAACTAGTACACCATAAAACAGGCTGCCATTTGTTGGAAGTACAGGTAAAAACATAATTCATTTATTTTAAGTTTATTTATTTTAATTCATTTATTTTTTTACAATAGTAAAAAAACCAAAATCTTAACATTGCTAAAATATTACCTTTGCAAAAAGTTCTCAGTAGCCTTAATATCAGTGGTGTAATTGCTTTTAAATTCATCTATTTTGTAATTGACTTAGGCATTCTATATTTATTAACCTGAGAAATATTAATGGCCTTGCAGTGCATTAACTGACTTGTGTATGACCTTTTGAATAACTAACTTGTTATTTAGAGTAAGCAGTCCAATGAAGGTCTGAGTTCTTTTCTTAAAGTTTATTGGAGAAATTCAGATCTCCAAAAACTTACTGAAAAACTGAGTTTTTCTTCCACTCATTGGGAAATTAAACTGAACCTAATACAGATTAAATTATCCTTGTTGAGCAGTAAATTGAAAGTTGCTGGTTGTGAGCACATTTTATTCTCCTGTACTTCATGGAATGTAACAAGCATAGGCAAGCAGTTGTTCTTTGAGTTATAATATGTACACCGCATTTATGGTTCTGAATATGTCATGCAACTGTTTTCAATAAATGTAACTTTTATTTTAGAAATAGTTATAGGAATATTTGTTTATGAGACAGAACAATAGCTATTTAACAATTTAGTTCCTTTTTGTATCAGTGTTCATCTCAGGAGCACAAAGTTTTACATAAATGTACTCTCTAGTTTCGTGTGTTTTTATATTATGTCTGTGAAAACTATTGGGACAGGTATTTTCATATTAACATTTGAAAATTTCACTAAAAATTTAAATGGTTTTCTCAGTGTTACTACTTACATAGTATGATAAAACCTAAGCACTAATTTACTTTCTGTTTTAAAGAATAAGTATGATTATTTAGTAATACTAAGTGCCAAGTACTTTGGTAAGCACTGTGTGTGCAATAATTTATTAAATCCTGAAACCTTATGATGCAAATGTTATTATCACTCTTCTAAATATTAGGAAATCAAAGGGTGGGGAGATGAAGTAACTTGCCCAAGGCCACGCAGTTAATAAGTGATAATTCTAGAATGTGAATTCAGAACCCCTGCCCTAATGCTGCTTCTCAAGAAATTTTACATAAAATTATTTAGAATTTTAAGTATGTAAAAATGACAAAAAGCAAACCTTATATAGGTTTTATGATGCAATAAGAAAATAAATATATAAATATATTATTACTCATGCTATTTTTTTTATTTCTCCAGAATATTATTACAGAACTCTGTCGTAATGTTCGTACACCAGATTTGGATAAATGGGAAGAAATTAAAAAACTGAAAGCATCTCTTTGGGCCTTGGTTTGTAATAAACACTTCTGTAAGATCTTCGCAATTTTTAGATTTTTCAGGTTTTTTTTTTCATTTATACTAAATAGATAAATATTATTTTCTTTGGAACTTCTTCTTAGATTAATATTCAAGACTGGATTGTTCCTGCCAATTTAAGTATTATCTCTATGTTGAAGAATAGATGGTTGAGCTATTAGTTTCGTGACTTTTGTTTTGTTGCTAAGACAACTAGAATTAATTCATGCCTAATGTTTTTTACTTGAGGAGGCTTTTACATTTTTTTCTCTCTCAGAGATAAGGTTAAATTTGTTTCTTGGTAGCTTTCCAAATCTTTTGAAAGAGTTACTCTTGTAAATATATTTGATGTAAGTGATTTCTTTTGTTTCAGGGAAATATCGGCTCATCAAATTGGGGTCTCAATTTGCTACAGGAAGAAAATGTGATTCCAGATATACTAAAACTTGCAAAACAGTGTGAAGTTCTCTCCATCAGAGGGTAGGTCATTTAACTCAGAAATCTTTCTAATGTAGACATTGTTATTCACAAATGGATGTTAGGGAAAAGTATTTTATGATTAAGTGCAGTGCATAACTGTTAATCCACTGAAAGTTCTAATGATACAAGATTATTAACTGTAATAAGTTAAACGAACTCCTTGTTTACTATTGTAATTTGATTTTTATTATGATATTGAAGTTTACCTTGTAGGTAACAGGTAAGGCACAGTGTTATACAGATATTCCAGTAGTCCAGTTGCCCAGCTGTTCCAGATTTATACTAGAAAAGCTAATATATATCTTTTTTGCTCATATTGCATTGTGTTCTTTTTATTTTGTTGTAATTACTATCTTTATTGGGAAGGTTTGCTTGTTTTTTATTGCTGCTAGTTTATTCCTAACTAGTTTTTTTTTTTTTTTTTTCCCCCCCACAAACGAAACCATTTTGGTGGGTTTTAGAGAAAGTTCAAAGTACATATAGCAAATGAATCTGTGATTGCTTTAAGAAATCTCAGCTTGGAATTATAACTGTTTTTACTGCATCTTTTATATACAGGACCTGTGTATATGTACTTGGGCTCATAGCTAAGACCAAACAAGGCTGTGATATTCTAAAATGTCACAACTGGGATGCTGTGAGACATAGTCGCAAACATCTGTGGCCAGTGGTTCCAGATGATGTGGAACAACTCTGTAATGAACTTTCATCTATTCCAAGCACTCTAAGTTTGAACTCAGAGTCAACCAGCTCTAGACATAATAGTGAAAGTGAATCTGTGCCATCAAGTGAGTATCCTGACAGGTTCATTTAAAGTTAGCAAATGTTAATATTTATATTTGAATTTTAAAATTTAAATGTATTTGTTACATTCCTAATTTGCTTTTGTCTAAGATAATTTTTTGGCAATAATAGCCTCTTGGAGAATGTGTATCTTTTCATAACACAGAGTATAATCACCAGCTTACATTGTTCTCTCTCCTTCTTAGTAGCTTTTGAGAATTCCTACAAAGTTATGTAATAAGCCATGTGCCAGAAGAACCAGTCCTCCTTTTTTCGGCAGAAAAGAAACAAATATAATAAGTATTTATTTATCTACCTTCTTTATTTAATCTTTTTACTCATTTTTCAGATACCGAGATTGTTGAGCCAGAATATATTTTTAACAGATATTACATTCACATCTTCATTTTTGAGAGAAGCACTAAATTTTAAAATAGTGAAATTGTTAATAGAGTAGCAAAAATAGTTATACATAAAATGATTTGTGGTTTTAAGTCCTGTGCTAAGTGGTGTTAGGTGTACAAAATTTAAGGCATGGTTCTTCCTTTTAAGAAGATAGTGTCAGATTTATCAGACTGTGTATTTCACCAAATCTGAGATGCCATGAATTATGAAATGTACCAACATTTTATGTACTACAAAAGGAGAAGAAAAAGTGCTACCTATTAAACTAGGACATACTACTATTTCAAGATGCATTCTGATTTTAGAATCAAATTCTGTGTGAAAATAGAGATTAAATGTGAAAAGTGTGCATCTTACAATTGACAAAATATAGAAATGGCAATGCAGCATGCAAGTTCACTTAGGATTTTCTTTTACTTTCTTTCAAAATATATTTGAAGTAGTTTATAATTATTCAACAGAGAAGTTAAAAATAAAAGAAAAATCCTATTAGATGTCATTAGGCACTCACTTGGGTTGCATCTTCTAGTAGAGTTGGGCACTAAATTTAATGAGTTTCTTAGTATCTAAGGTAAAATGGGAAATAAACATAATTTAAACATGAATTTAAAATGTTATCACTTGGTTCTCTGTAAGTATATTTTAAGATTGGGAATTCATTTCTTACAAGATGAATTTCTCCTGCCTATAGCAATTTAAAGATGAACTACCAGGAATCTGTAATAACTGAGTAAGCATCCTTGGTCAAGTCTCCTTTTTCCCTTTAATTTCATCATGAATATTCTCATAAATTACGTAATTTTACTTTTTATTCAAGTTCAAACTCTGGGTTTCAAGAAGGATATTTTCATGTAGCTGAATGGTTTAACCCTTTATTTTTAAATTTTTTCCTCTAGATGACTAAAAAAATATTTCCTGAAATGTGATGTCACTAGTAGTTACCATGAATTTGTCATTTTTTATGTGTTTTTATTAATTGATCCTTCAATCATAGGTATGTTCATATTGGAGGATGACCGGTTCGGCAGCAGCTCTACTAGTACATTTTTCCTTGATATCAACGAAGATACAGAGCCAGCATATTATGACCGAACTGGACCCATAAAGGATAAAAATTCGTTCCCTTTCTTTGCTTCTAGTAAACTTGTGAAGAATCGTATCTTAAATTCACTTACTTTGCCTAACAAAAAACATCGTAGTAGCAGTGATCCAAAAGGAGGGAAACTGTCATCTGAAAGTAAGACAAGCAACAGGCGAATCAGAACACTTACGGAGCCCAGCGTTGATTTTAATCATAGTGATGATTTTACACCCACATCCACTGCACAGAAAACATTACAATTAGAGACTTCATTTATGGGGAATAAGCACATTGAAGACACTGGTAGTACACCAAGCATTGGAGAAAATGACTTAAAATTCACCAAGAATTTTGGTACAGAGAATCACAGAGAAAATACAAGCCGAGAGAGGTTAGTAGTAGAAAGTTCAACAAGCTCACATATGAAGATGCGTAGCCAAAGTTTTAATACAGACACTACAACAAGTGGCATAAGTTCAATGAGCTCAAGTCCTTCACGAGAGACAGTAGGTGTAGATGCTACAACTATGGACACAGACTGTGGAAGCATGAGTACTGTGGTAAGTACTAAAACTGTTAAGACAAGCCACTATTTGACGCCACAGTCTAACCATCTGTCTCTCTCCAAATCAAATTCGGTGTCCCTGGTGCCTCCAGGTTCTTCTCATACGCTTCCTAGAAGAGCACAGTCCCTTAAAGCACCCTCTATTGCTACAATTAAAAGTCTAGCAGATTGTAACTTTAGTTACACAAGCTCTAGAGATGCTTTTGGCTATGCTACACTGAAAAGACTACAGCAACAAAGAATGCATCCATCCTTATCTCACTCTGAAGCTTTGGCATCTCCAGCAAAAGATGTGCTGTTTACTGATACCATCACCATGAAGGCCAACAGTTTTGAGTCCCGATTAACACCAAGCAGGTGAGCAAATACATGTTTAGAAGTGACCAACCCTGTCTCTACTAAAAATACAAAAAATTAGCCGGGCCTGGTGGCGGGCGCCTGTAGTCCCAGCTACTCGGGAGGCTGAGGCAGGAGAATGGCCATGACCCTGGGAGGCGGAGCTTGCCGTGAGCCGAGATTGCGCCACTGCACTCCAGCCTGGGCGACAGAGCAAGACTCCGTCTCAAAAAAAAAAAGAAGTGACCAATAATGGTTGCATTTTAACAGATTTAAATACAAAACGTTAGCCAGGTTTTTTTTTAACACTACATAAGCCTCATAACTGACCTATTATAATTGTTTACTATGGTAGGCTATAAGCTCCTTGTTACCCGATATGACTTGAAATAGATTCTTGCAGCTGCGAGGGGGGAAGAAAATCCTATAGGCCCTGAAAATAAACACACATGCTTTGCAAAGGACATACAAGTCACAAGCTTTTTTTTATTTATTTCTCGCTTCTGCAAGGATCGATTTTAAAAAGAAGCATGTCGGGGGAATCAGGAGCTTAAGACCTACAATAACAAACAACCTTTTCAGGTAGGTCAATTTAAGGCTCCACAAGTTGACCTCTTTATTATTTTTTTAAAAAGATAACTGAAAATTGCAGTCAAATTATTTTCACTTTAAGTAGCTGTGATTATTAAATAGGAACCTAATAAACACTAAATGAATTACTTGATCCTCATGACTCAGCAGGGATTTCTATACCATATTTAGATTATATCAAGCTAGTCAAAGTGAATAGTTTAGATTTTACTTTTAAAAGATACACATTATTTGTTGCAAAAAAGTTTTGTACCTATAATTTTTGTGATTGGACCAAATGCTTCTAAACAGCTTTCCTTAGTTTTAAATTATTCATTTACATTTATTTAAGTGGATTAATATATGTCAACTACTTATATATGTCAACAATGTATATTAGAATACTGTAGCACATATTAAGCACTCAATAAAAGTTAGCTATTATTTTTATCATCATTGGTTGTTATTTAATGTAATCCATCTAGCCCTTACATTATTCTTAATAATATTAAGCAGTTTTGTTTCAATAATACTTAACACATTTAATAGAGGGTTTCCTGGTAGCAGACAACAAATTACGTACCCTTGTAGGATTTAAGAAATGGTGCAGCAATGTCTCATCTATCTGGAACTCACTAGCTTTCACAGCCTTGTCCAGGACAAAGCCAGGGAAATTTCTCAACAGCTCACTACAGTAAATCTATGCAGTAAAGTTCATGAATTTCAAAAATTCCTAAGCCTCAGTTACCTCATCTGGTGGAGATTGCACTAGATCAGTGGTTTTAAGCTTTTGTATTGTTGTTTTTTAAGCAGAGAAATTCCTTTTCCACATAAAGATTTATATGGAAACCCAATAGGTAGAACAGATAAAAAGGGAGCTATACTGGTTGAAATAGGAATTGGGAAGGGGAATTATCCAATAATTGTTTTCCTCCCACTCCAGTAATCCTTGAAGAGTTTTATGGAATCAAAGAAATGTAACAGATTACAGTTTGAAAGACTATTTTTTTGGGTGAAAATTAGGAGCTTGGTTTTTGCTATGATAATCATAATAGCTACTATTTAGAAAGTGTTTATTTTGTGTGTTTTACAAAATCTTTGATTTAATATTAGGCTTTGATTTAATATTAGGCTGCATTCATACATTTTAAAGACTTGGTTTTCCAAATAAAAATATCTTCATATAAATGTATATAAATGTGGAACCTTGCATAGTGCCTTGTATGTATACAGCAGATGTCAAGTAAATATTTAAGCGTGTCTGTTGCATAAGAATCTGTATGAGAAAGATGTATCTTATGGAAATATCAGTGTATCATATTTGTTATGGAATCTCTAGTAGTAAGGAGTATGTTGTGGAAATATCAGTACATTGTGGAAATATCAGTGCCTTATACCAGGATATCTCTTGTCATAAATGACCATTTTGCTCTTGTGTCTGTCTTGTGTGCTACATAAATCTTATGTTGATAATGAAGGCATTAAGGTAATTATCACACAAATAATGATATATAATTGATCTTATTTTTTACAAATATAATATTAAATAGAGTTAATACACATATCCTTAATTACATAAATGCCAAATCTAGTAGTCTCAAGTGATTATGAAGATAGTCCTTGGACCATGCTCTGACTACTGAGGTCAGTTTCTTTTTTTACTTCTAGATGTTGAAAGTTATTCTAATTGCCCACCTTTTCACCTTTACCTGAGCGACCGTAACAATTGTTTTTGGTAACAGTCAACATTACTGATGACCTTTTACATAGCAGTCTATAACAGCTAATATTTTAAAGTGTTTATGTGTTCCCAGTAAACAAGATGACACTGCTTAATACATGACTAGCTGCTTGTCTTTTATGAAGGTAGGAATATGTATTATTTCTTCATATGATTAAAATAACAGGTCAAGAAACTAATGCAAGTGGGGTTTTTTTATGGTTTTATAGGTTCATGAAAGCCTTAAGTTATGCATCATTGGATAAAGAAGATTTATTGAGTCCTATTAATCAAAATACCCTGCAACGATCCTCCTCAGTGCGGTCCATGGTGTCCAGTGCCACATACGGGGGTTCAGATGATTACATCGGTCTTGCTCTCCCGGTGGATATAAATGATATATTCCAGGTATCATCATACATTTTATTGTTTTCCTATGAATTGGTTTCCTGTTTTTTCATGTTCTATAACTGCTTACTAGCAGTCATAATTTAGCGTGGGCACTAGTTTGGGGCAGCATGATTTTTAAGACCGTTTTGTTTAAAGAAACTTTAAGATTAAAATTATTTTACCTTTTTCAACTACTCTGTACTTTTATTTAGTCCTTAGAACATTATCTTTCCCTCTCTTTCCATATTAAATCAGTATCTCATTTGATTTCTTTATCCATAGAAATTTATGTAGAAATTTGTGAAATTTCTAACTTGTTTTTTAGTCACTTTTAACTTATACTTCATTTTAAAATCCTCCTTCCTATTTATCCCATGAAAGGTGGCCACATGTGGTACCCAGTAATTTAAGGTGACCCTAATCCCAGGAGATGCCCACAGATCTCTAGATGGTATATAGTACTAAAGAACACATTTTCTTAGAAGTTTAAAGACATTTTAGATAAACACTAAAATAATTATTTTAATGTCCATTTACTCACTAAGAATATAATAAATACTTTTTGAGTTACTTTGTTAAATTTTGGTAGTTGAACCTTCAGTAAATTTGATTATAGGTTCATATGCTACATCTATTTTAATTGTATTTTGTTTAATTTTGCTAATTTTCATAAAGTGGGCTTATTTTTATAGCAGGACTTACCATGGTTTATATCTTTTTTAGGTAAAGGATATTCCCTATTTTCAGACAAAAAACATACCGCCACATGATGATCGAGGTGCAAGAGCATTTGCCCATGATGCAGGAGGTAATGCATTGTGCTTTGTACTTGTGAGATGCCTCTTTATATTAAAAAGAAAACTCTTAGTTCTTTCTAGTAGGATAACACTAAAAATTTAGGAAGACTCTCTTTTGGATCAACTTTAAAATTATACCAAAACAATTGTTAAAGTCAGCTTAAAATTAAACCACATTTGTGTGTGTGTGAAGGACTTAACATTGTTTTCAGTGAAGTACTCAACCTTTCAAGGAAATAAAAACCAAATTAGTTGTTTCTGTTTTTTAAAAGTAGCACATGAACGATGTGTAACACAAATCCTCATAGATCCAGGAAATAGCTGTTTGTTTAGAGTAAGGAGAGATAGAAATGTACTTATAAAATACACGATCATTGTTATGAACTGTTATATTTTAATATGTAAATGTAAGCCACAGGTTTTATAGCTTTATGATTTTGATGACTTTTTAAACAGATGCCTCTTTATACTTAGAATTATTACATATCTTTAGGCAAATATTGAAGATAGTTGAAATGATGCATTATATAATCTCAGTTTTTCCATTTTGTATTTAAAACTCTATATTAAAATAACAAACATCTGCTGGCTTTCCTTATTTTTATAATTTAAGGCAAATTATTCTTTTTTTCTTTCCAGTTAGATTTTTAGTCATAAAATGTGCTTTAGCTTTTTTTAAAATTTCACATAATTTAAGGTACCTTGAAAAGTACTATCTTTATTGGATTATGTTTTATATCTACTTATGCACAGGTCTTCCATCTGGAACTGGAGGTCTTGTAAAAAATTCTTTTCACTTGCTACGACAGCAGATGAGTCTTACGGAAATAATGAATTCAATCCATTCAGATGCCTCTCTGTTTTTAGAAAGTACAGAAGACACTGGACTACAGGAACATACAGATGATAACTGCCTTTATTGTGTCTGTATTGAAATTCTGGGTTTCCAGCCCAGCAACCAACTAAGTGCAATATGTAGTCATTCAGGTAAGTGATCATGTCCTTTGAGGTAAATCCACTTGAATTTGAATCTGACTTGTGGCTTTAACTCCCAGCCCTATTAATCATATATACCCTCTTGCTCCATTCTCACTATCTCAGCCTTAGTTCAGTCACTTAGCTTCTCCCTATTGGAGTGTTAGTATTTTAGCCTCTAATTTTGGTCTCTTCCAATTCATCTTTCATACTATATCCTGGAATTAATCTGTGTGCAATTCTTTAATGGCTATTCATTCTTAACACACAAGACACTCTGTCATCTGTCTAGTGGTCTTTTTCACTTTCCTCCTTTCCTGCAGTTGACATGTCTTTACTAACTGACCTGAAGTTTTTGAACAAATTTTTAGGCATGAAAAACATATTTTCCCTGCTGTCCTCTCTTTGCTCTTTACCCTGCCTATACATACGTGGTCTACATCCTACACGTCAGCATTATTTGGCCTGTGAAGTCTTCTCTGACTCTCTGAGGCAGGTGTTGACACTCCTTCCTGTTTCCTCTCATTGCCCTTTGCACATAGATCTCTTATGACAATTATGACTATTACAACTTGGTTATTTTTGTTCTTCCACTCAGTTAAGTTCAGTTAGGGTATGGTCTGTCAGTCTTTACATTTTTATATTTCTGATACCTATGTATGTACTGCTTTGTACAGCAGGCCCATAATATGTATTTGGTAAATAAATAAAGTAGACCTACATTGAGCTTTTTTTTTTTTTAATCAACAAGTGACATATATTAGCAATTTTAAATAAGTATATGTGTGTTTAAAGTATTACCTTTTCTTGGTGAATATCACTTAACCACCTTCAGAAAAACCTGGTGATGACTAAAGTTCTCTGGTTTACTTTTCCAAATTTCTTTTTGGTATTCTAATTCAGAGTTTCCCAGCAGGTGAGTTGCAGCACATTGATATGCCAAATTATGTTATGCTGAGATGCTGATGCTCTCATGGTTCCAGGTCACAGTGGGGCCTGAGTCTGACAGATCCCTGGAGTAGGCCTTTTCCCCTGTGAACAGCCCTGTCCAGGCCCTTTTCATGCTATAATCATTTTCTGTGAGGAAAAAAGTTTTGGAGTGTTTGGTGTATTGCATACAATTAGAGAAGATGTTATTTTATATTCTTTCATTTCAGTGTGCAATGTAAGCACAGGAATTAAGCCGTTATGGTGCTTTAATTGAAATAATTATTTTTTTTCTTCAGACTTTCAAGATATTCCATATTCTGATTGGTGTGAGCAGACCATCCATAATCCCTTAGAAGTGGTTCCCTCTAAGTTTTCGGGGATTTCTGGATGCAGTGATGGGGTGTCTCAAGAAGGCTCAGCTAGCAGCACCAAAAGCACGGAATTGTTACTAGGTGAGTCTTCGGATTCAGATCCAATTATTATTAGTAAAACTGTTATTAGTTGGTTTTGTTTTTCGTAAATACTGTAAATTAAAGTTGTCTCAAAACAATAATACGTCCATTTTAGTGAAGCAATTTAACACTGTTCAATATTGCACCTATATCACCCACTGATACAGAGCCTCTTAGCTATCTGCTTTTATTAGAGTTTTGCTCCCAAAATGATAGGCAGATCATGTGTAACTGATCTCAGTTCTAGGTCTTTAGGTGAAGTTTAAAAATAAATTTCATGATTTTTAATCATTTTTGTTGTGATATAGATAATATTTAACTTCTCCCTGAAATCTTTTTAGGTGTTAAAACAATTCCAGATGATACACCAATGTGCCGTATACTCCTTCGCAAAGAAGTTCTAAGATTAGTCATTAATTTGAGTAGTTCAGTTTCAACTAAATGTCATGAGACTGGGCTTTTAACGTGAGTAAACTATGTGCATAAGTATTATTTGTTTATTCTGTTTTTTAAGTTGAGAAAAGATTCTTGAAATACTTCAAAAGTTAGGCTAGTTAACTTACATCAGTAGTTCATCAGTTGTTCTAAACTGCGTTGCATACCTGTGTGAGGCTAGATTTTCTTTAATACTTCAACCAAAACAACATATGGCAACAGATCAAATGCAGAAGCGAGTATGAGAATCCAGCTATCTTCTATTAAGCCACACTTTTGAAGAGATCTGCAAAAAATGTAAAATAATGCCACTCTTCTCACTTTTTTACTTTTGGAAAATACAGTTATTTTTATTAAAATATATGTTATTTATGTTAACATGTAGTGGATTTATTTTTAAAATAAATTAATTCATGTTAGGAAATTCTCTCAATTTTAATTTCTAATATAGTAGTTAATGGTCACTATAACCCACACAAAAATAAGCTTTTTTGGGTCCTCAGTAATTTTTAAGAAAGTCCTGAGACCAAAAAGTTTGAGGAAAGTGGGCTTACATGTAACAAGTCATAATTTCTTGGTTTAATTTTTTTCTTATTATTTAAAGCAGTGATTCTCAAAAGGAATGCACCTCAGGGTCTCCTGTAGGGCTTTTTTTTTTTTTTTAAGACAGTCTTGCTCTGTTGCCCACGCTGGAGTGCAGTGGGGCACAATCTTGGCTTACTGCAACCTCCGCCCCCCAGGTTCAAGCGATCCTCCTGCCTCAGCCTCCCAAGTAGCTGAGATTACAAGTGTGCGCCACCACACCCAGCTAATTTTTGTATTTTTAGTAGAAACATAGTTTTGCCATGTTAGCCAGGCTGGTCTCAAACTCCTGACCTCAGGTGATCCACCAGCCTCAGCCTCCCAAAGTGCTGGGATAACAGGCAGGAGCCACCACGCCCGGCCAGCTGTAGGGCTTTTTTAAAGAGTGATATAGGTATTGGGGTCCCATATAGGTATCAGGGTCCCACAGCAGACCTCTGGGCCAGGAGCTCTGGGAGTGGGCCCTTAACTGGTCGCCCACCCAACCCACAGCTGATTCTGAGGTGCTCTCCTAGCTAAAAGCTGTTATTTGAAGTATCCAAAGAAATAGCCTGGTCAGGGATGTTAATAACTTAACTTTAAAGATGTATTTCTATTTTAAAACTTAATTTTGAACATATTTTAATCATCCTAGGCTGATAAATACATTTTGCAGTTTCTCACGCCAATGAAAAAGAATGCTTCAACTTTACGAGAAGTATTCAGGTTTTGATAATCTTTTTTTTTTTTTTTTTTTAAACCCAAACTCAGAATATCTAAGTGTGTGAGAGGAATATTTAATATTTTATATTCTCAAGTCATCTCCCCAAGTATGCTGTCTAATCCATATCTGTAGGGAAATATATTTTTAAAGTAAGTGATACCTTGGAGGAAAAATAGATACATCATGATTACAGTTTTCATCACACCATAATCTTTTATTTTAGAATTAAGGAGAAGTATCCTCAAACATTTGATGACATATGCCTTTACTCTGAGGTTTCCCACTTGCTGTCACACTGCACATTCAGACTTCCGTGTCGGAGGTTCATACAAGAATTATTTCAAGATGTACAGTTTCTACAAGTAAGTATGATTAGTACTTCTCAAATTTATCTTTCAAGAATAATTCAGTGTTTGAATTGAATTAAAATACACATTATAGTTGGGTGTGGTGACTCATGCCTACAATCTCAGCACTTTGTGGGGTTAATGCGGGAGAATTGCTTGAGCCCAGGAGTTCAAGACCAGCCTGGGCAACATAGTGAGACTGAGTCACTACAATTTTTTTTTTTTTAAATTAGCCAAGGGTGGTGGCATGTGCCTGTATTCCCAGCTACTTGGGAGGCTGCGGTGGGTGGATCATTTGAGTCCAGGAGTCAGAGGTTGCAGTGAGCAAAGATGGCAACACTGCACTCCATCCTGGGAAGACTGAGCAAGACCCTGTCTCAAAAAAATTATATATTTATATAAACATGTTATATATTTTTATAAAAGTCATTAATGATACACCATTTTTTCCCTAGATGCATGAAGAAGCAGAGGCTGTGTTGGCAACACCACCAAAGCAACCTATAGTTGATACATCTGCTGAATCCTGACCTCATATTTATGATGGATATAGATATATACTATATATATTCATATTTGTGGATTTCCTAAAAGCCTCAGAAAATACAACTGACTAGGTAGCAAAGACAGGAGTATCTTCTGTACACTGTTCCACAGTTACTGGTACATGAACAGTTGGAACTGCTGACTTTCCTAACCAAAACAACTTCCTTCTCTCCTTTGTTGAGCCTTTTGAGGGGTTCATGATTCATTACCACAGTTTTAAGAGTTTTAGTTACCATTGTAGCAAGAGCCAAGCACTGAATACCTACATAGGTTTTCTATTTTTTTCATTTTAAAAACATAATGACAGTGGAACAATAATGGGATATGCAGAAGCACCCTTCACAAGTTATTTCTGAATTATTTTTAGGGTAAATATACAGATGCCTTGTTTGTTAACTAATTTGTGGAAAGCAGGAATCAGTGTCTCTAAGGCCGCGTCCTGTTACCACAATGGGGTGTGCTATAACTGCTGGTATTAGAGAGGGAACTTTGGCCCTTTCACGTTTTTCTTAATGTTTGTAACACTACTTCAGAGGTTTATAACCTCAAAGCAAAAGAAGAGCCTCAACAACCTGGGACGTATAAGTTATTTTTATGTTACTAGACTTGCATAAAGATTCTTGTTTTCCAACTCCTCATTTTGTTGCAATGTGTTATTACAGGATATATGAACCAATTAAGGTTTTTCACTACAGTTCTTGAATAAAATTTAAAAATCATTTTTTATTTTAATTAAAAATATTTCCCATTTATAGAGTGCATATATTTGCAATGGACTTCCACTTTCATCAACTTTCCATCTCATCGCTTTAAACAGGAACAAGCACTGTTAGTTTAGACCTAAAGGATAGGAAAGCATTAAATACTACTTTGGATCTCCTGAGGAAGAGATAAGTTTGCTTGCAATTTACACATTCCATGGAGGAAAGAAGAGCCATATTTCCTTTAAAAAAATCATTAATAAAGCTTGTTATTAAGACAAATTGTAGTGAAAAGCCTTAAGTACCAAATTTTAAAGCAGCAGTAACTTAATTTTTATATCAGTGTTTTTGTTTTGCACAAATTAAATGCAGTGATAGGTGGGTTTTTGAGTATATTAATTGCCTTTTTCCATTTGTGAAGTTAAGTTGATGAGGGCAAGGTTTTTGTTTGTTTAATTTGTATATGTCTAAAGATATTTGGAAATTTTTACAGGAATTAAACATATATGCAAATTTGTATATAAAAATAGCATGGCCATCATCATTTGAATGCTTGTAAATGAAAGGATTATCTTTTTTGAGATCTATATATAAATAGAAATAGAAAATCCAGCTGGACTGATTAGGATTCTTTTTTAATTCATTTGTGTATAACATTTTTATTACAATTACACATCAGTTTTGACACAGTCATAGCAACATTAATATTTTCCCATGATGCAGATCCTTTTTGTAATGGGCTTGTTCTTTGAGATCTCTGTAAAGAACCCTGTGAACTAGAAAACATAACTCACAGAGATACTTTTTTTAAAAATTTATTTACTGGCACTGAAAGTTCCAGTTGGGATGAAGCATTTCGTCTCACTACATAACACCTCTTTGACTGCACTTCAGTGAATTGTTCTTATGTGCACTGTGTAGCAACTTACATTATAACAAAGCAGATAAGGGCTGTAAGCTGCTGCTTATGTTGAAAAGTGGTTCTTCAGATTTCCTCTCATAAAATCCAATTGAAGATAATTTTTTTATACTTTATCACTGAACCCAAGTGTTTATTTAAATGTCAACAGTACTTCTAAGAATGTTGCCTGTCATCGTGGTCTTTGGTCTTGGATAACTAAACTGCCTTTCCAGAGAACCAAATGTCAGAGTTACTAGACCAAATAGTGGTTAAAACCTCCAAAGGAAGTAATGTAGTAATCTTATTCATAATGGGATTAACATATTTTAGACATTCGTTTTAAACACTACCTCAGTTAATATAGAGTATAAAATCTGTGGTTTAATCCCTCAAAAGTTAACAGTGATTTTTTTTTTTTTTTTGTCTTACACACATACCCCCTCCCCCACCATCACTATCCCTGTACCCCCACCTTGGTCATCTATCTTGAAATAAGGCTTAGTTAGTATTGGCCTGAATGTTTTCTGGGTTTTTTTTTTTTACTGTTACGTTGAAAAATATGTATGTATACATTATCATATTTGCCTATATCACTTACTTTGGGAAGATACTCAGAGCTTTGTGGTTATCAGTATACTAAAAAAAAAAAGTCTATGCTTAAATTTATAGTGCTATTTGGTTTCTCCATGATTTCACTGACAGGTCTAATACATTTTCTTTGAGTACTTGTTTGTAAAAAGTAGACTTTATGGTGAAAAATACATGCAGTGCCAAATGATTAACTTAGGTGTTTAAAAATATTATAGCAGAAGAGGTTAGGAATGATATCAGCAGTAATAGAAATAATTGAGAAAATCATCTATAAATAATAGATATTACAGACTATAGAATACCAAAATAATGTCAATACTGTAGTTTTTAAAGATTTTAGGATTAATCTTAGTCCATATAAATTTGTACTATTGGTAATTATTGAATAATTTGGAGGAATTTGGGCAGTTGTGCTGGTTGTAAACTGTGAATTTCTAATCGTAAAGTGAATTGTTATTTCTAATTGAACTTTTTTTCAAGAACAGATTTCAGCCTCACATACTAAGTAAATACTGATAAATAAGGAAATTAGAAATTTAGTATTCATAATTAAATATGCTCTAAACTTTATTATACTTTTATTTCCTGTTTATTCTTAGGTAGATTGGAGGGGGGAAACAGTCTGTTCTCCCTAATTAAAATTTTTCTAATAACAATTAGCAGAATAAGGACATTCTATATGACAGTGACATTAAAAGAGGCTCTTTGGAAGTATATACATTATTATAATGTAATAATGTGTACAAGTCCTTTGAAATGATAACTTTAATGGGTTTCAGCTCTTTTATCTAGAGCTCGAGATAATTAAAGCTGAGTTTTTCAGGGCATATCTATCACAACGGCAAAGTGTTCAACAGTGGGATATCAATGCTTATTTAGATTTTCCTACTGCTATTTATATAAAATGTTATTTCATTCCGTTCAGAGGATGCCTTTTATCCCCACATTAAAGCACAGATCATTAAGCAATAAAAACCAAATTGTCTGTCATTCAAATTATAACTGCAGTTATTTTTGCATGGTAAGAGTGAGGTGCTAATTTTGTGTGAGATGAACTTTGTAAACTACTTTGGGAAATGTTCTTTGGAAGTAAGATTTTTTCCCCTTTAGTCTTATGTTTCTAGTTTTGTCTCAGATTCACAATCCATTAAAACATGGGAAAAAAGAAAAGGTAAAATTGAGAGACTTTTATTAGAAGAGCTGTTTGGAATGAACCAACATTTCAGATTTTCCAAAACATAAGTTAGGAAAAGTCTCCATTGTCTTTGCATTAACAAAATACACTGTTACTATCTTAATCTCAAAAGTGTCATTACAGTGAGAATCTCATGTAAAAGCATACCAGTGAAATTAATAGCAGTGCTTATCAAAGAACACAAATCTGTGAGAATCTTTCTAGGAGCATTGTTTTTTTCTTTCAGTTCCAAGTTCCAGGGTATTTTTCATTCCCAGTATGTTTATATGACTCACAGAATGTGGACTTTTTTCCTGTTTGGAGTATTTTTGTAATGTAATATCGGATAGCTACACCACAGCATGCATAAATTGCACATTTTGTTTTACTTTCTTTATAGAATATTTAATTTCAAAAATATAATTTATGCCAAAAAAAGCATACCTTTCAATTTTGCTACTTGGTTGATTTAGCACAAAATGCAAAGTCTTGGGGCAGAGAGGGGGAGTGAAAAAAAAATTGTAGGTAATTGTTACAAAAATGCCTGTCAGAAACCCTAAAGCTGCATTGTAAAAACAAATGGTGTAAATTAGTTTTGAAAAGTGGTAAGGAATTGTGAAAAAAGTGTCAGACTTAATGCTCTCTAACCACATGATTTTCTTCTTTTTTATTTAGTAATACGCTGCTACATATTTGGAGGTTCTGGTGTTTGTAGGTCACTGAACAGACATTGAAATCTGATTTATATTGTATAACTGTAACATAGAAAGAAAAAGTATTTATATTTTTTCTGTAAGAATATTTCATTGAGTTGTGTATAATTTAAATAAGATTTGTCCCCAAATGGTTTCGCTCACCTTGATTTTTTTTGTTGTGATTCTCTTGTTTTTGTATAATGTGTACAGTTTATGTCAAGGGCATTAAAAGCCTCCTGAAGCATAATCTTATCAAAGGGATACATTGTTAATAAAATGTACTTAAAATTCTTAAACTTTGTCATTGTTTTATTTGAAATATTAAAATAATCAGTGGTCATATGGCCTTGATTTGAGTCCTGTAATGCTGATGCTGACACATGTGACTCCAAGCAAAAGTGACTTTTAGGTACCACAGACATGTAGAGTGGCTGTTACAATATTTTAAAGTAATATTCTTCTTAAACACTTCATAATTAAACATCTTTGTAGTTTTTTAAAATTATCTATAAGGATTTGGAAAATAGGTCTTTAGATAGAACAGCTCTGAATTTTTTGAGGAAATAATGTACAATATGAGTGATGATGGTATGACAATGGTGACATCTCTGTGGAAGGTATTTGATGTCTCACACATAAACTGCCCTGATTGAATAAGCTTACCTACAGCTACCTACTGGCAAAAGAGAATACCACAGAAATTACGAATTCTGGAGGATAAAGTTGAGTGTCAAAATTAGAGTCTGTTAATAAAATATGGTAAAATATATATCTCACTTCAAGAAACATTTTGGACAGTGTGGCAAATTTCTGTACACTTTTCCCAATGTCTTCCACTGTATATGTCATTGAAAATATAGTTGGCCCCAAAATAAACTACAAAGCATACTTACAAATTCATCATGCCGCTGATCTTTTAAAAAAGTCCTAATGCAGTGGAACTTGGAAAATACTGTTTCATTTTTAAAACTCTTTAGTATATAAAATAAAAATACAGTACTAGTTCGGTATTGATTTTAAGAAACTAAAATATACTAAAACTTCCCTTAATGCTTAGAGGAATAAAACAACTATGCTTTCAAATTGAATATACCTATTGTGTTGTAAACATTTTAACTGAAAGTTCTGAAAACTCTCTTCTACTGTTTCTCTCTTCCAGAGTTTTAACATTTCTACTTTATGCAGAGTGCTTTAACATGCTTTGTAAATTCGAGATGAAAGCTTATCTTTCAACAGAACTCTCAGAAGTGTTTTAATAAGATATTAAGTCTTGATGTTCTTAATCGGTACACTAGTAGGTAACAAGGTTGACCCTCATTATTTTGGGTTACGTGTTTGAATGTAGGAAGCGTTTCAGCAGTCGTACTGTTGTGTGAAGAGGTCCCAACTCCCATCCCGAATTGTTGAGGTCCCCCGCACACAGGTGAGGACCGTGCACAGGCTGATGCAGGATTTAAAGGCCATTAATGCCAGTGCCGTCCACCACTCAAATATCCTATTTTTAAGGAATTACTGCTGTGATTTTAGGTGCAATTTTTAACAATTATTATGACTATATTAGAAAAAGTAGAGCTTAGAGAACTCAGATATTTACATGAAATCATGATATCATGATTTGCGTCAAAACAATGTGAGGAGAAAGAGTGAACAGAGGTATGGATGGAGCTGAAACAGTCATGGATAGTGGCCACTGGGACTGGTGGTGATACATAGTGGTTTATTAAACTATTCTACTTTTGTGTATATTTGAAATTCTCCATTATTCTGACACATGAATATGTATTTCAAAGTTTCTGAATAACACTGCCTAAAGTCATGTTAAGATGGCATATAGTATTGAAAACTAAGGTTTTGAACATGAATTTATTTGGTTATGACCATTGGAGAAGAAATGTTTACAGTCAAGACTATAGGTCATAGTGATATTAGGAAGACAAACGTTACATAGCCCAGCATTTCCTATTGGCATGTTGTTGTATTTCAGAAAGACTTCATTTGATTTGGGCCAGTGATTCTCAAAGTTTAGTGTGTAGATGAATGCCTGGGAACTGATGAAAAATAGATTCCAGGTCCATGCCCCAAAGATTCTGATTAAGAGGTTTGTAGTCATACCCAGGAATTTACATTTTTATTTAGTAAGTTCATGAGGTGATGTATCTAATTACTAGATTTTCATTTCATTGAGGGAGGTAAAACAATGTGATGATGAAATATTTTAATTAAGGTTTATTTTAGTATTAAAAATGACTTCAAGGTTTTGTGTGAATTATTTTTTAAACAAAACTATATGAAAAATACGTACAAATCAGTCACCAATGTCATTGACATTTTTGTGAACAAGTTTCAAATGAAAAATGTAATCCCATCATAACAAAGGTACATAAATAAATAAATGCTGACAATACTGGCCCTAAAGTCTAACACAACTGTTGGACTAATCAGGATACCACTTTCTACTACATGAGGAGCACATAACGTTTCCAGCAAAAGGCAAGTACTGGTTTGTGTAGGTTTATTTAGGTCAGTTGACAGCCACATTATTTTGAGGTGTGGCTACTTGTTTCTCTTCATAGTGTTGAAGGGCACAGTGCAAAGCATTGGGCACCAGAGGCATAAGCATAGGCAGAGCCATTTCTACCATGCTGACGGCAGGCAGGAATTCGTGCTTGTTTGGAAATGTGATGGCTAGGCGCAGTGGCTCACGCCTGTAATCCCAGCACTTTGGGAGGCTGAGGTGGGCGGATCACCTGAGGTCAGGAGTTCCAGACCAGCCTGACCAACATGGTGAAACCCCATCTCTACTAAAGATACAAAATTAGCTGGGTGTGGTGGTGCATGCCTGTAATCAGAACTACTCGGGAGGCTGAGGCACGAGAACTGCTTGAACCTGGGAGGCGGAGGTTGCAGTGAGCCAAAGTTGCATCATTGCACTCCAGCCTGGGCAACAAAAGCAAAATTCCATCTCAAAAAATAAAAAATAAATGTGACCAATAATGTGACAAATAGGCTGGGCATGGTGGCTCACACCTGTAATCCCAGCACTTGGGGAAGCTGAGGCAGGTGGATCACCTGAGGTCAAGAGTTCGAGACCAGCCTGGCCAACATGGTAGAACCCTGTCTCTACTAAAAATATAAAAACTAGCCAGGTGTGGTAGTGTGCACCTGGAGTCCTAGGTGCTCCGGAGGCTGGGCAGGAGAACTGTTTGAATCCGGGAGGTGGAAGCTGCAGTGAGCTGAGATTGCACCAAGAGAACCAACATGTACTAAAATACCAGTTGTGTACCAGGTGCTTTGCATATATTAGTTTGGAATATATTGGTTCAGAGGAGACAAAGTTGCTCCAAAGCCAACATGGAATTTCCCACTCCATAGAACTTTTTAGTTATATCTAAATTATGTCCAACAATGGGTTTCATTTTACCATTTTAGCATAATATGAATATAAATGTGACAGAGTTATCTTGGCCCAGACAACGTAGTGCAGAGTCCAAAGGATGCCAAGTGAAAGCAGGCTGTTTATATCCAGTTCTTGAAAGGAAAGGAACCAAACACTGAATGGAATCACGTGATATACTTTCCTTTTTACGTTCTGAGGTAGTCATCAAAAATTACGGTAGAATACTGATGTCTATGGAGCAGATGTACAACTGACAATAAGTCAGAAGTTACTTGCCAATCCCATTCTTTCACTGTAGTAAGCTTGACAGAAGAATTGTGGAAATCTTGTTGATTGATCACACATTTTACATATTAGATTAGATCTATACCCCCCGCCCCACCCACAGAGTTAATTTTACTGTGTCCGTGAACTATAGATTCTTATCCGTTCAAGGTAAGTCTAAAATCTGTCCTGGCCTCAGACATCTGAGTTTTTTCATTCAATACGCTCAGTAAATTTACATTGACAATTTATGCTGTAGTAATAAGTCTCCTGTGGCCTTTATTAAAGCCTTCAATCTAAGAATTGCTTTTAATGGAAATATTTCCTCAGTAAAAAATGAACTTCTAGGACCACAGCCACTCTGTACAGTACTGAGTGGGAGTCTGTAGAGTGGTTAATGCATATCCTTGTGCCAAGCTCAAGTCTCCTGTTCTAAAGGTGAGCCTGGAACAAACAGCAGCAAGGTAAGCATGCTCCCATGATCCTGCCATTTCTAGGGCAAGCCTGCTCCACTGGGGAGTGTTAAGTTCCATAGCTTCTGGCCTTTAACCTAGCCAGATTGTAGTGGTCTTACATAAACCAGACCTGCAAATCATACTGGGATTAAGGACCAAGGCCACTGGTGATGAGAGGGTGCCAGCTCTGCTCTTCGTAATGTCTGTGTAGCATAAGGTATGAAATCGGCATGCTGGTTAGCGGTAGTGTTCACCTGGATCTAAAAGGGTACTTGAGGAAAGGCTGCTAGTCTCGGTCGGGGGAGGCAGGGCAAGACGCAGGGGGACTGCCATTTGCATTTTATACTCTGAACAGTGTGGTGGCTCCACTGGGTTTGTTGGGAGACTGTCCTTGTCTCCAGACATGGGTGAAGCCAACTGGGACACATAATTCAAACTTGTTTCTCCAGCTGGGACTTCTCCCAGGGAGTTCATGTAGTTTTTTTCTAGTGCCTTTAGTACATTTTCAGGTGAGGTCATTAGTCCCAGCATACTTGGTGGGGCTTTGGGGGGTACTGGAACATGGCCACAAGAGCCAGCGTCAGAAGCTGCCTGGTTGTAGGTAAAGTTCTCAAAACAGATGCAGGGGCCAGGGCCAGAGTGATTCTTTTCTGTTGGAAGGAGATAAAGGTAGTTAGGCTTAGTCAACTCAGTTTCTGTGAGTGACTTCCTAGTGCCTAGGAGCTGTATCTTTGTCCCTTCTGGCTTGCTTACAACTTCAATAGCATCTGGGATACAGTCACTGACATTCATTATTGTTAGGTGAGGGTTCTCCTAGAAAGGAAACAAAAATATGTAAATATAGACATTTGTGTGCATGCATACATGCATCAAAGTAGATGAAGCATGTGAAATACACTTAGAGCTTCAATGTCGTTTATGTTTCTTCCTGGTCACAAGTAACCTGGAGGTGAAGTTGAAAACCAAAAGACGTCCCCTGACAGAAGAAATCAAAGCTCCAATCACCTATTTCATGGCTATGGGTATAAAGGTGGCTTTTACTGTGCTATATTTTCCTGAGGAGCTCTAGGAAAATAGGATTCTAACAGCCCCCACTCTGGGTTAGTCCTTAATAGGTGTATGATATACATACAATTTGCCAACATTTACCTTGAATTTTATTAACGACAGGATGCTGCTC